GGCGGTCGCCACTGCGAAAGACTACATCGACCAGTGAAACTACGATCCCCGACCGCGTTCCATCTTTCTTGTTCTCGGACGAGGATTTTGGCCTGCCCCCCTCGAACAACCCCGCCACACGACAACAGCCCGTCGGAAATGTCGAAGACTCGGATCCAATTACCTGGAATTCCTCTCAACCTCTGCCACTGCCAAAATCGAAACTGCCTGCTCGATCACGAGGTGCAGTTTGCGAGTTCTCCGATATAATAACCTTGGATGGAGAAGATGATCTGAAGCCGCAATGCAAAGATGCGTCCCGTGTTGGTAGGCTGGAGGAAGTAGAGGAATTCAGTGATCCGTTTGCTGGGCTGCCGGAATTTACAGATGTAACGGAGTTCCAGGAAACGGAAACGGGAACATCCGGTTCTACTGGTGTATTTTCCAGCAAAACCGCTGTGCTGTTGTCAAACCTGAGCACCACCAGCAAACGAAGTGGAACCGTATCCCACCAAAAGACAGGCCCGCGATCTCGAAAACCAAAGAACGACGATATGATGGGCCTAGATCTATCTGACGATATGGGGGAGCCAGCGCAACCGAAACGCCCTGCCAAAAAGACGAGCAAGCTTACAACTCAAGAGAAAGAGGCAAAAGCAAAAGCTAGGGCGGATGCTAAAGTACAGCGAGAGCTGGAGAAAGAAATTGAAAAGGACAGAAAGAAACAGCTCAAGGAAGACAAGGCAAAGCAAAAACAGCTGGAAGCCGACATCTCGGAGGTCAACAAGCTGAAGGTGGATAAGAAGGACTCCACACCGGAGATGATTCTTGATATGGCCTCATCATTCGAGAAAGGTGCCGTGGGAAATCAGACAATTGAGTTCATGAAACGGCTCGGGGTTGATCATCATTTCTTTACTGGCCCCATTCCGCATATGGTCAAATGGCGCCGGAAGATGAATGCCCGATTCAACGAGGATGCTGGTCACTGGGAACCCTGTCCGTTTTACATCCAGGATGAGAAACATGTCCTATGCTTGGTACCGGCGCAGGATTTTGTGGATATGGTCATTCCGTCCCCGGATGGCGAAGAAAGAGAATCATTGGAACTTCATGTTCTCAAGATCAAAAGTGCCCACCCAGAATGTACAGTCATTTACCTGATTGAGGGTCTCATGGGCTGGATGCGCAAGAATCGAAACTCACGGAATCGAGCATACCAAGCGGAAGTACTTCGACAATACGAGCCAACCAGTACCCAAACCTCAACTGCATCCTCTCGTGGTCGGAAAAAGAAAAACAAACCCGAGACCACCCCACCAGTCGATGATGACACCATTGAGGATGCCCTTTTGGAGCTGCAGGTAACCCATGCGTCTCTCATCCATCACACCAACACGCCGTCCGAATCGGCCGAATGGATCAAGAATTTTACCGAACATATCTCAACCATTCCGTATCGACAGCAGCGATCCAACGGAAACGATGCTGCATTCTGCATGGATGTGGGCCAGGTCAAGACGGGCGAAGATAAGCAGGATACCTTCGTTAAAATGCTTCAAGAGGTGAACCGTGTCACTGCTCCTATGGCTTATGGTATTGCGGGGCAGTACCCTAGCGTAACCGACCTGGTTAGAAACATGCGGACGCGCGGGCCCACGATGCTCGAGAATGTCATGGTATGTCCCCTATTTTCCCCCTCTTCCTTGCTTTTGATTTCATGCACCCCTATTACGTTGATTCGACCATCACGCTGCTCATAAGCTCTGGAATATCGCTGACATGTCCTAGAAATCCGCTAACAAGAACGGCGGCACCACCAACTCCCGTGTCGGCCCCGCAGCCAGTAAGCGGCTGTACAAAGTATTTACAGGTCTTGATCCCACATCAACAGACGTCTAGCCACTTGAAGGCTAGTACCATAGACCCTTCATCCCGGGTCCATTCGGGCTAGAAACAATTTGGTGCACGAAGTTCATTTCATACTCCCAACGGAGGAGATAGAAGTTGATCAGCATGAATATCATGATACACGTCCCCAATATGCAAATATGGCCTTCCGCGCCCTTCCCTGTCTCTTTCTCTCTCTCTCTTTAAAAACACGTCCTCCGTATTCAATTGCCGGTAATGATGTTGCCTTCGGACCGATCATCGGGATTGTGGAGCCCGTGATCCATTTGATCCATTTTTCGTCGCCAGGCCCGGCGCGATTTGCCGAGCAGTCGCCACCAAATCCCCTAAATCCCCTGGCAAAGCTTAGCCGGCCTCTTAGGGCTGTAAGGCTGAACTAGCGTAATGAACCGCTGGTCCCGCGCAAAATAGCTCCGCGAATACTCCGTACACAAGCAGGTATTGTGCGGCAGGGAGAGAAAAGCGAAGTGGGACCATGGCTGGTCGTCAGCCCGAGCTATTCTGAGATTTTCCGCCCTCTCCTCTCGCTTGATTATCAGATTGATTTGATCGATTTGATTGATAAAGTTTCCACCATCCCCATCACTCGTTTTTCTGGGATAGAGTTTCATTTTTTTCTTCCTGTTAAAATGCTCTTTGAGAGATGGGGCGTGAGCCCGATGTTGTTCTTTTCGACGACTTTGTTGGTTGTCTCGGCTTTCAACTATGGGTTCAGTGATCAGGCTTTTGCTTCGTGTCAGGCGATGGACTCGTTCACTCGTCAATTCGGTGCTTATGATGAATCGACAGGAGAATGGGCATTGGAGCCTTTGTTCACGTCTCTCTATAATAGTGTCAAAGCCGGTGGTCAAATTATCGGTTAGTGCTCCAGCTCTCCTTTCTCACAGGGTTCTTATCTCAGATCTAACTATCTTCCAGGTGTTTTTCTCGGTGGATGGGTGAGCAATACATATGGTCGTCGAATGTGTGTTTTTGTTATGAGCATCTATGCTTTGGGCAGTGCTTCTGTTGTAATCAGTTCTACGACACAAGCCCAGATCCAGGCTGGTCGAGCCTTGCACTGTAAGTCTACAATTCATGACCCGACTAGTCGAGGCGAGACTGACTCTTTTATCCTATAGACATCTATCTAGGCATGCAATTGGCCGTTATCCCAACAACTCTGTCTGAAATCGCTCCGGCCAGAAACCGTGGTGGAGTTAGTGTGTTATACTGGTTGGCCATCAAGGTCGGAGGTCTCATCGTGACATCTATCACACGAGGAACCAAGACCATCGAGTCAAACGCCGCCTGGAGAATTCCATTCGGACTATTGCTCGTCGTTCCATCGATTGTGATCTGTCTCGTGTGGTTCATTGCCGAGTCACCTCGCTGGCTACTTCTCCGTGACCGGGAGCCCGAGGCATTTGAGGCTCTCAGAAAGCTCAAGCCTAAGAACATTCCCGAGGAAGAACTCCGAACTGAATTCGATCTCCTCTCCTTGAAGGTCTCCGAGCAGCTACAGAAGAAGAGCTTCAGTGATCTATTCACGAAACCCAACCGCCTGCGCACATTTGTCGTCGTGATGTCAAACTTTTTCCAGCAGGCTACCGGTCAAGCTTTTGCTTCGCAGTACGGAACTCTCTTCGTGAAGCAGCTGAAGTCAATCAACCCATTCAGTGTCACGCTTGGTACTAATGCTGTTGATATCGGTGCCATTATCATTTCGGCCTCTCTGATTGATGTTGTCGGTCGAAGGTACGATTAGTCCAACCATTTCCTCATTTTATTTACACGGCATACTGACTCCGAATCTAGGGCCCTGTTCCACATAAGTTCCATCTTCCAGACTGGAGCTCTCATGACTATGGGTGGTCTCGGAACAGCGGATGCGAGCAACACATCCGCCAAACAAGGAATCGTGGCCATGCTTATGATCTTCAGCTTCAGCTGGTCTCTTGGCTGGGCACCTCTTACATATGTAATTGGCGCGGAGCTACCTTCCTCGCCTTTGCGAGAAATGACTCTTCAAATTGCGTATTTCGTGAAATTGATCACCGAGTAAGCGGAACCCCTTTCCTTTTTGAATTATCTTCTTATTTGGGAGTCACGCTAACTAGTCCCTGCAGATTCGCTGTGACTTTCTCATACCCATACATGGAGACGGCTGACACCCCCGGCCATGTCTATCTGGGTGGAAAACTCGGTTTCATCTATGGATCTCTTTCGGCTGTGGCATTCCTGTTTGGATATTTCTTCATGCCTGAAACACGCCGTATGGAGCTGGAAGATATTGACGCTCAATTTGCCTCTACAAGCGACGAGAAGACCAAGGAATTTGATACATTGGCAAGAGAAGAAGAGGCAACAACTGTGACTGAGATTTCGAAATAGACTCGAGTTCACAGACGCACTTGGATCTTAGCCCTGGAGGTTTCCAGTGAAGTGATAGAGTCTCTACTACTAGTACTTAATGGGGTGGAACATCCTTGAATAGAACCCAGAATATGTTCTTATTGAATACTATATGTCGTCAAATCGAACTAAATAGCCACAATTGACTCAATGTTTTTTGCAGTACGGCAGAGTCCCAAAAATACTACCAGCGGACCTCTGGTGTTCACGGTGACTATTATTCCTTACCCCACGGCTCCACCACTCCTCTAGCGAAGTGATTCAGTACCGATCTAAATCATTTGATCTCAACAATTAGGGTACTGAGTGTTTAACTTTTAGTCTTTTAACTAGATAGGATACCAAAGTAGTATAATGTATAGAGCACCGTACGTACACATACTGAGCTGATACTAACTATTCAGGCTCGAGGGTGCTGAGTCATGCCGCATCCACCACATACTTCTATACTAGTAGTAGCTTTAGATAGTTCCTATCCTATCCTTTACCTTCACCTTCACCTTCACCTTTACCTTCACCTTTACCTTCACCTTTACCTTTACCTTCACTTTTACCTTCACCTTCACCTTCACCTTCACCTTCACCTTTACCTTCACCTTCACCTTCACCTTCACCTTCACCTTCACCTTCACCTTCACCTTCACCTTCACCTTCACCTTCACCTTCACCTTCACCTTCACCTTTACCTTCACCTTCACCTTCAACACTCAAAAGCTATGTCGGACTCACTACACCCGCCTCCTGCGTTCCTGGCTAAGACGCCTGAGAAGGTAACTCAACAGTTCATACGCGAAGTAAGAGACTCGGTCAATCATGCTATGCAATTCAGACCGTACAGAGTGACTCATGTCATCGCATTCCACTGGGAAAACGATAAAATGAATGTTCAACAGCTCGAATCAGATCTCCTTAGGACTTTCCGAAACAAATATGGCTTTCAGACAACATCTTTCAAAATTCCGCTGGTTGAGTCACACCTCAAACTTATGAATCGCTTGTGTGACTGGTCTCGAGAACGTCAAGGGGATGATGTTCTCAGAATCTTCGTCTACTCAGGCCATGCAGATGTTGTTGGTTTACACGTCACAGAGTGGAACTTAGCGTGAGCTATCAATCTCTTTTCTCTTCGTCCTGATATTAACTAACAAATCACAGGGGTCGCTCAGATCATCATTCTGGCATGTTGCTGGGTCCTAAGATTGACTGGTGGTCGATCCGACGGCCTATTGAGCAGTACTCAGGTCATTCGTGCTACATTTTCGATTGCTGTTCTGGAGGCACTGGGGCATTACGCCACTATGATGGGGCGGAATTCATGGCGGCGCGTGCTTGGGAACAAAATGCGACAGCGGATCCCAGATTCTCGTTCACGAAAATTTTGATCGATACACTTAATAGTCTAGGAGGTCGGCCTCCGACATTCGCCGCGATTTACAGTCAAATCTTCCGCCACGCTCAAACTAATCGAATTGGAGCCTGCCCAGTCCATGTCCCGAAGACCGGATCTTGCAGTGTCACAATCGGTCGATCTATGGACTCTCAGAGAATTACGAGAAGCATGGAACAAAACAGCTACCGAGTTTTGATCAGCGTGAAAGTTCGGGGGGATGTTCAACAAGATCCTGCTCAGTGGTCTGCATGGCTAACCCAAAATATCCCCAAGGGCATTCTTTCCACCGATGTGGTCGTTGAAGGCGCATTTCAAGGCTCTGGTCTCGTGCTTTTAACTGTCCCCATTGAAGTCTGGACTATGATGCCCAGGAATGATACGGCGTACAAGTTCATCGCGCACGTTTCCAGTTGCAACATCTTGAAACCAGCCCGTCCGACCGCTCTTCCTATTCGTTCCCCGCCACCGTCCGGTAAAGAGAATGTCCAAGGAGCACGCTAACGGAAAGCCGGATTCTTGCGCTTTGGCTTCGGTAGTCTCAGAAGCGTATGTAGCTTGAAAGCCAATTGCTATCGGCTATGCCAGATATTTAGCTATCACAAGATACCCAAAATTTCATGAAAATGGCAAATATTTGCTACTAATTTATGTCATCCTATCAAAATTCCTGTTGATGGTTTTTAAGTATAGATAACCGAAAATTATTCTAGAAATCCCAAATATGCCTAAACAACAATACCGCGGCGTTTCCAGCCCCGCCAGGCAGCTAACCAAGCCGCAATAGCAATCCAGACACTGACTGTGCAACCCACCGCCCAAACTCCAAAGCAGCGCCAGCCATGACACTGTCCGTCGGCAGATCCGGAGCCACTGTCTACGGCTTGTTGGTAGGCGGTCGAATATATGACACCCCAAAGTGCTGCGCCAAGGGCCGGCATCATGGCAACAATGCCCCAATTTGTGGCAAAGTTCTCCACGCCCCATACGGCTGAGATGAGAATTGGCGTGAGGGAGAATGCACTGCCGTATCCAAAACCGACAAAGGCGGTGGTTAGGTGGAATATGGATGGCTGCTCGAGAGGGAGTGGGGTGGATAGTATGAGATAGCCGATTGAGAGGATGAGTGCTGATGGGAGGAGGAAGGTCATTCTCGATAGGGTTGTGCGCTTGTCGTCTGATGCAATTTCCGATCGATGACGACTGCCTTCTGGGATTGAAGGGAGGAGATGCAATGCGGGTGGTGCGAAGAAGTCAGACAGAGATCCAGTGAGGAGTCGAGCGATTGTTGAAGTTAGAGCGACTGTGCTGACATGTGTTGATGGAAGACCCGCCGGTGGAGCGGCTTCCGGGGCGTAGGTTGGCGGAGTAAGTGTTGGGATGATAGTTCCGAGCTGTTTGCTTTCGTCAGAATGAAGTCCAGATAGATATTAGAAATCTTTATAGGTTTACTCACATTGTTAATGTAGGATTCTCCAGGGCCCGTGACAAGGAAGAACCCTGCAGCCAGCCACCACATGGTGGGATCCTGGAGAAAGGCACGCGTCTCATAATTAAGAAGCCAATTCTTTTTGCGGCGCTCTTCTTCTTCGCGTTTTCTTTCCTCTCGTTCGTCCTCTGAATTTGTCATTGAGCCCGTCTCGTCCGCATCTGAAGAAAATGTGCCGTATTCAGCAGCAGCCCTCACTTCATGACGAGGCCTGAAAAAGTCACTCTCCTCCAGTAGCCCACTGCGCTCCAATTCTTCGACAGTCTCATCAATGTATCTTTCCTCCTCCTCATCAACAATACGTAGCAGGAAAGTTCCGATGAAACCGGTCACTAGGAGAAGAATTCCCAGGAAAAGGAAGTAGCGGAACACATCCACATCACCATGGCTGCCATCAGCATTGCGCTCATAGAGAATATAAGTTCCAATCTGGCTCTGCCACATTCCGCTCAGTCCAAATGCTGCGATTGGAATAGCCAGCATTATTCCCTTATGCTTTCCACGACCATAGTTTTTGGCGCACGTCGCTACAGCAGAAAGATACATGCAACTTGTCCCCATGCCGATAAGGATGAAGGCCACGAGCATGACCCAGAATGGCCACCCATCACCACCGACATCAGAAGGTGGGCCCTTCTTATACGTGAACGCAGCAAGCAGGTATCCGACACCGAACATGATGCCCGAGCCCAAAGACAAGGGTGACGGGCTGTATCGATCGCATAGGAACCCGAACAACGGGACCAGGAGGTACATCGCTATCTCGGCCGCGATGGAGACCGCGTTGACCCGAAGTTGTGTGTAGTGAAGTCGTGTGAGCAGTAGATGTCCGTAAAGAGAGAACGCGGTGATGCTACCTGCACCCAGGCTAAATGCGCAAAGAGTAAATGTTAGCAGCAAGCAACAGACGGAATGTGCTTCAGAAACAGTAGCCTGTAGAGCACTGCATACCATGTAACGACTCCCCAAGCAAAGCTAACCACCCTTACGACCTCCCTATGCATAATCCGACGGTCACGCTCGACAATACCCTCCACAACATCGGTCAAGAGCCCATCATCGCTATTGGCACTGTCGCGCGAAAGTCGAGAGCGATGTGAGCCCGATCGAGAATTTCTGTACTGCGGACTCGGCTGTCCATGTTCGCCCTCAGCTCCGTCATGAAGTAGGGGCCGGTTCGCATCGAAGTCCCGCTTATCGATGGCCGAATCGGCCTGCCTTTCGGAGCTCGTCATCGTGTGTCAACCACAGCCGCAACCCCTCGGTGTATGGGTTGTTTCGATGCCGATTATCAAAGATGTGGGGAAAGGTTCTCAAAGCTTCGCTCTGGGGGGTTTATATCGCGGCCTGACTCACGGCCTGGCGGGGTTCGTCAGGTCAAGCGCCTCTCGGAGGTCCCTCGGCAAGTGGTAGCTGAGCTCCCTTGCGGAGAGCTCGAATGATAAGCGGCCGTGTCAGCTGGGTGGATCAGTTGCTGTGTTGTCCTGACTCCACCCTTACGTCATTCAACTGGAGGCACGAAGTCTTGGGAATGGGGAATGTGAGTAGCGTGGGAAGTATCGCTGGATTCAGAGGAGTTGTTATGTGCAACAATGCTTGTGTTCAATAATTCTAAATGACGTGAAGTGGTCAAAGACGTGATCTCAGCCTGAGGCTGAAGATTCCCGATTAGGAAAGGTGCTATTTTAGTAAGCGGGCGAGTATTCCGCCTTGCTGAAAGACTCACTACACTTGGAGAACTTTGAATAGATACAGTAGTGTTGCAAAAGTTTGAAACCGCCTGTTGACCGCTCTGATCTCTGCCTTCCCAAGGGGCACAAGCAGCTACCTACAGTAAGATGGAATAGGGTAGCTACTCTATTCCATCTTAGGTAGCTACTAGTCTGCCATTAGAAGGCGGTCGATAGTGGTGGGCAATCGGAGGTTTCAAAACTTTTGCAACGCCACGGTATCATATAGTATTACAGTGATGTCTAAAGTAAAAGTCCCAACGTAACTATTGAAAGGTATAGATTTTAGTGTCTAGACTGAGAAAGAGAATATCCATATACAACAAAAACACCAATGGGCCATGATCGCATCGGCCACCCAACAAATTGAAATGAAAATCAGACCCGAACCTGAAAAGAATCAACCCAGTTTGGGATATTTTCAAATAAAACAAGGCCGAGAAGTGAACCGGGAGGGAATCAAAAAGCTGGCTAATCTCATACACGCCGCGAGAAGGGGGAATGGAATAGGAGAGGAAAGAACACGAATTAAGCAAAAGAGCAGAGTCCGCCGGGTTCTAAATGCATCCAAGCGTTGATCAGGGTCATTGAAACATCCGTCGAGGTCGTTAGTCGTACCGTCCCTAAGTAAGGCCAGGGAACAGCTCGGGGAAGGGGGGGGGGGGAAAGGAAATAAGAATGGGAATGAGAATGGTGGGGAAACAAGCACAGGGTAACTCCGGGGTGGGAGGGGTTATCTAGTTATCCCCAAACGCCATGACGTCGACCCTCAAGCCGAATGATGAAGAACACAGAAAGAAGAGAAAAAGAATAGGAGAGAAGAGAATAGAAGAAAAGAAAAGAAAAGAAAAGAAAAGAAAAGTAGGATCACCTCAGAAACTGACTTCGCCTGTATCAGTCTCCATCACACTCTCGTCGTAGTATTGATCCGAGGGCGTCTCACGAACAGCAGGCTGAGAGCCAAGCGCGATTGCTTCACCCTCTCCGCGTTCCACGAACTCGTCCTGTGCGGTCTCTTTCAAAATTCGTTGAAAGTACATTCGGAGTGTTCGAAGACCTCGCAGATAGCCACGATCGATGTCCATCGGGTGATGTGGTGGACATGCCGTGTCGGCAGGAAGTTCGTCCTCGCCAGTGACGCAGTTTGCAAAGTCCACGATCTTCAGTTGAACTTTGGGAGTGTTGTGGCCATCTTCAGAGGTACGGCGTTGCAGCTTTGGCCGTCCGTTGCTCTGGGGTTTGGATTCCTGGGTAGAAGGGTCTGACTGTTCCCCATCATATAAGATCAAGAGACTGCTCGCGTATAGCCGGTATCGGTCCAACTTGCGAATCATATTCTCTAGCAAGGATAACTGCTCCAGTATATTTGGAATCTTTTTTGCTACGCTATTGTAGCTTACCCCATCGTAGAGAAATCGTGTCAGAGCATCTTGGAACTCACGGCCGGATTTCAAGTCTCGACCAAAGTACTTGTCCTCAAATATGTATTCCTGCTTTTTCACATTCCAAGCCTGCATACCGCATAGACGAACACCCAATTGCCGAGAGGTCGTTGACTGGCATTTGCGTCTCTGAGATTTCTTTTTCTTCTCATTCGCTTCGATGCCGTACTGTCGGGTGCCCATTTTAAGGTCAAGGACACAAGGTTTGTTCATGCCAGCTGTCAAGTCTTCCAGGAGTAGGAAAAACTGAACGCGCTCGTCTTTTCTCAGCAGGGCATCCTTGGGGTTACTTGGCAATTGAGACTCGGCACCATCCTTGCCTCCCATAGCAACTGCTGCATCATGAAGTTTGCTCGGGGATGTGAAATGATTTGTGTGAGTGTCAAGTGGAGTTTCTTTGGCTGCAATCAAGGTTGATGGCAATGCTGTGGGTGGTGCATTTAAGAGCCCTGGGGCGTCCCCCTCCATGGAGAAGATTTCATCTTCCCTGTCTCCACCGTAACCCTCATCGTCGAAAAATACAAGTTCACTTTGGTTGCGTGAATTGATACTTCCTCGCCTTTGTAAGCCACTGCCTGAGTGTCTTCTCCGGGACTGTTGACCGCGGTTCAATGAAGCTGCTCGGTTGAGATCATCTTCGGCTTTGTCTGTCTCGGCGCGGGTGCGCTTGTCTTCAAATGCGGTGGATGCCGATGATGAAAGGGTTATGCCATCCTTGGTCGAGGGTGCAATATCCATGTCCATAATCGGCGCGTCCAGGGTAGTGACTCTCGTCATCGTCAATGACGGTGGCAGGTTGCTCGATGTGTGATCCTCTGACAGGTTTCCACGGCGATACGGGATATCCGAGGCTGCTCTTGGCAAATTGAGATGCCCCCGGGCATGCCGACGATGTTGATGAATTGCAGGAGGGCTGAAAACCTCTCGAAGGACTTGTTCTTGAAGTTTCCGATTTACCGTCGTAGCGCCCCATATTTTAGCTTTTCGTTGTCTGACAGACGACGGATCAGAACCGGCCGCGATGTTATCAAGACCATCAGCAGAGCGCGGTCGCGTTAACGCCCTTTCAGCAACTCGTAGCCGTTGGGGCCGACCAAACAAATCGGCTGGGATAATATGGCGGTTGTTTTCGAGAATGACCTTGGGAATGACGCCGGTAATCTGTTTTTGGCTCACAATTCGCTGCGGTTCGGGGGCTTCTATGACATGAGAATTCACACTTGATGCGCCATTTGCTTGATGTAATTCCGGGGAGATGACGCCTTGCTCAGAGTGACCTTTCGTGCGCTTCGGGTTCTTGGAGAAAGTTACGTTGAGAACACCAATGTATCTGCACCGGCTTTGTTAGTATATAATTCGGGAAGGATGGCGGACAAGAAGTGCTGAGCTGGCCAGTCCCTCTCAGCACTGCCATCCAGGAAGGAGACGTACCTCGGCAAAAACAGCAACATATCAGGATGCCTCCGTTCGATACGCTCGTAGAATTCATTTTCACGATTGTTAAGCTGTTTGCAGACTGCACGTCTAGAAAAACGAAATACGGTGGTGTGGCCGCCCACCTGATGACGATAAGGCTTCAACTCCACTGCGCCGAGGGGGTGGGCTTGCGCCTAGGGGTAAATTTTGGTCGTTGGGTTGGCGTCGCGGTGGGTGTATCAGCGTCATCGGTGAGGCTACCTGTGGTAGAATCATCAAGGGTAGAGGAGTGTACACTCTCATCGGCAGATACAGATTCGGAGTCGGTAGTGGATTTGTCACCGTGATCATAGCTGTGTTCAGAAATCGTACCCAGAGGTTTTTCTGGTATGCCATCTGTCGGAGACCGAAGACCCGACAAATCGCCATGAAGGATCTTACTTTCATTCTTAGATCGAAAGGATATATCCACATGGCCGACCTCCTGCTGGGAAGATTTGCTACGCTCTTGGGGGACCAACATCAGCTCGTGGCCTGTCTCTGCAGCTGATATCTGAACTGTTTGCACACCATGGGGGTCTGCCTCTATCGGCTCTTTCCTCTGGTCATCTTCGGGTACAGCGACTCTTTCATGAGGAAAGTAGACTGCAGATGAGATTTGCTCATTTTCCTCCTCATCTTCGAACTGGGGCGAGTTTTGACCAGTCTCTTCATCAAGAGAGCTTAGAGACTCGTTGAAACGTTCAATGTGGGGTTCTGCTTGGAAATAATCCCGACTGCGTTCGGTATATTGAGTCGGGATACTTTTGGAGAATGAAGATCCGCGGCCTCCGCCAGGTGTGAGGTGGAAGTTTCGAATTTCTTCTAAGAGACTCAGAGGTAACGTCGGTGGGTTGCGCTTGAAGGGATCTTCATGATCTGCTTGACGAGGGGGGTCGACTGGAGTGGACGGCTCAAAGATTTGCCCATCACTCAATGAGGGAAGCGAGATACTTTTGCGAAGCGACACATCCTCGTCTATTGACGGCGTCGAATTCTGCTGGTCGAAATCCATCACGGAGTTCAAATCGGCATGCCCTTCGTGCAGCCGAGCTCGATCACGGTCCTCCCATCGTTTGCGGTCTGGGGAAGTGGTATTCTCCTTGAATAGACCCAGATAATGGCTGGATTTTCGACTGCGCACGTTGGAGGCTGGCTCCGCATTGGTGAGATTGGCCTCAATGGAATTGTCCAGTCGTCCCCGACGACCTCGATTCGGGTCTGTGAGGGGAGGAAAGGGGACAGCTTCTCCCTCCGGCGATGGCCAGTTGTGGCCAGCTGAGGGTGTCAACGTGCCAGGAGAGTGAGAGACATCGTCTATAGCTGAAGGAAGTAGACTGCGCTCAGTGGGAGTGTCTTCAAAAGCACTAGTATTCGTACCTGTTTCACCCGCAGGCACCGAGTGCACTGTAACACTCGCCTCCCCGTCTTGAGCCTTCAGCTGATCCGCGGATGAGATAGATGAGCGCAAGAGAGATAAGCGGGGGAGCCGAGAGGTTGAGTAGTGAGAAGTAGGGCGCAATGGGTAATGTCTGCGGGCGTCAACTTCCATGTGGGAAGGGTCGACGCAAGAACGGAGGGGGGAGACCTTGGAGGCAGGACTTGGAGATCCAGGCACATCATCGAGACCAGGAATCAAATTGACCTGATGGTCATTCTCATTCTCCACGACTTTCTCGGGGGGCAATTGTGGGGTATTAGCGCCGCTCTCCGAGGGCAGATAGTGAGTCGCAAAGATACTGTCACGTTCGGACAATTGAGGGCTATGGAAAGTGTCGGGACGGGAGAGTGTCTCCAAGGGTAAGGTATGGGTCCTTTTTAGGGCGAAGGCCGGGGTGGGCTGGGACCATTGACGGATGGTGGGGGATTCCGCGCGCGATGGGGACTGAGTCTCCTGCTGAGCCCCCTGGGACAACGAATGTTGGTCCTGCGACAAGTGGTGACGTGGGTTGACCGACGACAACTCGGCTTCCGAGCAATCATGTTGGGCGGGAGCAGCAGGTGTTACCAGGGGGTCAGGCAAGGAGTGTTCGGGAGCGGGAGGCGGGTTTGACATGGAGAGGACATTGGTCAGGCCTGCACAATCGGAATGGTAGGGACAGCGACAGATGGCTATTGGAGGGACTGGGGAAACTGTTCAGAAATGAGGGGAAGACGTTTGCGACACGGCGACACGGCAGCACAAAGACCCAAAGACGCGGCGAGACGGTTCGGGTACACAAGTCGAGGGAGAAGGAGCAGCGGCAGCAGTAGCAGCAGCAGCAGCAGCGAGACAGATGAGACTCTGGCGTCACGGAGAGCAGAAAAGACGAGTTAGTGGACAGCTAGAGAGAGGCGTTGAAGCACGTTGGCGGAGGACGAGTTCTTACAGGTTGCGCTGACCGTAAAATGGGGTCGGAAGGCCGGGATTTCACAGACGGCTTTCAGGTCTGAGCTTCAAGAGATAAAGGAATCAAGCTGCAGTTTGGAGCCAACGTAGGACAGTGACGCCGATCGTCCGTCACCGCCTTGAACAACGGGTGGATCCGATCGGGGCTTTCTTTAGCGGGATTTCTGGAGTTGGGGTTACTAGAGTCACTGGGGTACAGAAGACTTCTAGATGAGATGGAGCCAGGTGCAGATGAAAAAAAAAAGTTTGGAAGGGGGGAGGAGGAGGAGTAAGGGAGTGTGGATAGCGGTGGGTAGTTGGAGTTGGAGTTGGAAGAGGAAGAGGAAGAGGAAGACTCTTTTGGGGAACTTGGCGGGAGACAAGGAAGTTGCCTCTCTTTGCTCTCTCTCTCCCTCGCACACACTCTCTCTTTCTATCACTGTTTCTTCCTCTCCCTCTCTCTCACCCTCTCCTTGAATCACCCTCACCCTACATTTACTTTGCATCTGCGGCTTTATCTCCATTCCAGCGGCCATATCTACAACTGGCTTCCCATAGGGGTGCAGATCGGCGATCTGCACGACCTATCGACTCTCACCCCCCAAGGCCGGGCATTATGATTCGTGGCATCCAAATCTTGCAAGGGCCAGGACCACCCTCCTTGTGATGAGCCTGAGAAACTCGCAGTATCGAGCACGGGATAGATCATGGAATGTAACCACTACTCATGACTCAGTACAGTACCCAGGTGGCCCCCCCAGGTGGACAAAACAACTGGAGGCCGCTGTCTTTCCCCAGCTGGGATCCTTGGTCCGGCTCCCAACGGTAAGTCTCAACTTGTGGGGGCAAGGGATAACTGAGTTCTCGGGTCGATCAGTCGATTCTTGGAACGCTCTTCTGCATCACCTTGCACCAATCACCGATCCTCTTGTACGGCGTGCGGCCATCGTGGTCAGCCATAGGTGTCACTTCTTCATTTATTTCGGACAGCTTGATCCAGTGCTTGCAATTGGATGTGTTTGGTTTGACTTGGATTCGAGACATGCTCTCATCCCGAAGGATCCGGAGAATGTTAGCTTTTCTCCACAGAAGCAGCGGTCAAGTGCCAGGGGCAGCTGACCGAGCGCGATGCTTAATTTCCAGGTTGGTTTCAAGCACTGGGTGTGCACCGCCATCTGTGGCGTTGTTAGCAAAACTTACAGATCGGCATCATGAGGTTTGTTCGACTTGGAAGCTTTCAAGGATAGCCTGTGTCATGGGTAGGTTCCAAGTTGTAGGCAGCACTAACCCAGGTCCGTACCAATAGTGTGTTTGGCCATGAAGATACCGAAAGCCAAGACTTGGGGTGGTCTGGCAACCTGAAGTTTGGGATGCAACGACCTGACCTTGAAATTGAATATGTAGATGTGCGAGTTTATCTATACTCCTGGGCTCGTATATCGGATGGCCCGACTATTATCACGATATGACTCACCAGGGCGCCTTCCATACTTATATTCATGGGTTCGTGAGTGAATCGATCAATCTGAAGCAACTTGAACTCGACAGGCATTCATTCATGCGTTTGGGCAGCAATCTTGAAGGGGCCAAAAATTAGGACCGTGACTGAAAAAGCAAAAAAGAAGACCGCCGATCATGTTAGCTCTCCACTGTGTTGAACGAAGCACCCGATGTACTTACTACCTACAGTAGGCCAGACTTGGATTGATTATCTCAAATTGAGTTTGATATACAGTATTTCCGGAAATCGGTGTCACCCCCTACACTCTTTCATTGTTTCCCGAACACTAAATGCCAAGATACGCTAAACTACTTTTGCTCATTTGTTTTGAGAATGTACCGGAAATTACCGGATTATCATATTAGCGGGGGAAATGTTTATTACCTGTAAGGCGAGAAGCTGCAACCTGAGTGCCCTACGTTGACTTGCGCTATCACTCTACTGGATGTACTACAAACTATGGCTCCCAACCTAGCCAAGTCTACTCTGGGTCTTATTATAACATGATACAAAAGTGTGCCTCTAGCTGGATTACAGTAGCTGGTATCACGTGCTGTATGGCATCTGGGTATTCTGGCCTTTGGCCAATTCTATTCCCAGGAAGGCGCCCTTAGATCTGCGATGATACATGACTGGACAATCGACAAGCAGGGCACCTTGGAGGGTGAATATCTGGCGATAAACGCACTTGTCGACCACAGTCATCACAACGCTGTTAAGCCAGCATTGTGAAACCATGAATACTTACATCTCGTGGAAAACAGCTTGGTTAAATGTGGGATGAATCTCGAAAAATTATTGCATAGTTTGATTTCTGATATCTACAAGCTTTGGAAGAGTAGCACATATGGTAATAGGCAAAACAATTTCCCGATTAAGATGCAGCAAACGTGCAGAATAGGATGCAATGATAGATATAGAACTTGCAGATATCTGCAGGAATAGCCCTAGAACCCTAAAGCCCCTAGAAGCCAGTCCGAAAAGGGTAATACGGAGGCATTACAACGAGCGAATCAGAGAAGCGTGTGGCAAGAGAGTCCATATATGAATGGTAAAACCTTTTTCACTACGTTCTCGCGCACACGTACATCCAAGTTTATTAACACCCTTCCTCTCACTTCGTTCATTTCAGGGCACTTTCAAGATGGCAAGGATGGAAAGTATAAAATGTACAATTATGTACCGCTTTTACATTGTAGTTATAGACTCCGTCATCGCTCCTTTCATGATACAGTATAAAACTTCTACACGACTATAGATATCTGAGGCCTTGAAGGATCTGGAGAAACATAAATATTAACCTCCTCATCAAAGATTAAAACTTCGAAGGCACTTGTCAAGCAAAGGCTTGATCTTAGGAATAGAAGAGGTAATGATAACCGTGTTGTTTTCAACACTATTTCGAGTCAGAATGATGGAGACAGCAGCGTAAAAAGGTGATAATCTTACGTATACCAGATGACCAAAAAACGGAGAGTATCTGAAAGGCAGGTTAGTTGACTCTAAGGGATTATGGTAATGTCGCGATACATGGCTGATCCTGTTTTCCCAAGCCTTCAACGTAAATAGTCTTCATAACACTGCCGACGGTAGCCCTAGGTTGTTATTAGGGAATATGCGACGTATTAGATAGGACGATTTATTCAGCTCACAGGATGCTTAGAGACATGGTAATCATGAGTGTTAATTTTTCCAAAGGTTTCACCTTGAGACGATATATGAGTGCTGCAGCCAAGACCGTCAGCGACAAGTCGGTAAAACTGTTGAATGCTATCTACAAATCAGCCATGTATACTCTTGTAAATGATTTGAAAAATGAAAAGAAAAATTGAATAGAATACTAACCCCCTTGAGCATACGCAAAATTTCTTGTTATGCTAGTCGGCCAACACTTCCCAGTTATGGTCCAACCCCAAAGCTTTTCAACCGGACGACACTGGCAAAATGCGAGGATAATAAGAGAGACATTAATCAAAATCTGCAAAGTTATCAAGGTGAAGAGGAATTGCCGGCGTCGCCGTGATACTAATGCAAGTACTGAGAGCAAAAACGCAGCGAATGATATTCGCCCTAACATTGGCGAGAACACAGCGAAAGGAAGTGCTAGCCAATGGTACTTCACGACTGAGGTCAAACTCGACAGACTCAGATCATAGTAGTGATGGCCAAGACCCCAATGAATGCTAGCGGTGTTAAGCGCACAGCACACAGTGTGTAGAATCTATATCGCAGTATGGTTAAAGTCAGGCTCGCTTCTCTTGCGGAGAACTCACATACCCAGGCCGCCAGCATCAAATAATCATCTATTCCAGGCCGCTTCCCCAAATTAAGTTGTACAACGATTCGAGTCCAAAATACAAGACTTGCTACGCCAAAAGTAACCCAAACAGCGATGAGCGTGCCATGACCGATGTTCACACGTTCGTATGAAGAGAAAGGAGCGACTGCCATCTGATTCTCGAAGCTGCCTCCGATGAGTAAGATGTTTCTCGTGGTTTAAACAAAAATTTGCGCCGTCGAAAATTCACAGTAATTATCGTTTAAGCCGGGCTGCTGAAAATATGAGCATGGAATTTGATTCGGCTTTGCCATCTTCTCATTGCGTTTGTATGACGTTAGCAATGACAAGTTCACATTCAGCTGCGGGAGCAAACCCAAATGGGAATGTTTGGACGTGGGGCACCGAGGCAGCCACTGTCTCGGTATGACATGTATTAAACAAAGAACCAATTTACACAATAATCCGGTATTCTACGATACAAGGCCTACATAGAGCACCAGAGTGTTTTGGAACTACTCCAGAAATAAATTAGCTCTTCTTGGCGTTAGGGTTCAGGGAACAATGAAAGAGTGTAGGTGGTGACACCGAATTCCGGAAATACTGTATGTATATGCTTATTTGTCTTCTATTTTTGATATCTTACTGGCAAACAGTAGACTCCTAGATCTCCTAAATGGGGCGCTGCTTAGGGCCGGGCCGCAGACGCCCCGATAGACACGGATGGATTTACTAGTCCGTACTTTCGCGCTTTCGTAGGCAGTTCGAGGTACTTTAATTGCAGTTGTGACGTAGCGGGCTGTTCTAGCGCTTCAATCACCGACAAGAATGGCACACGACTGTGACTCCGCTGGAGACTCGAATCCAGGGCGATTAATCTATACCCCAGATGTACAACAACTACCCTAAAATGAGTGTATTTCACTAATTCAATTCCTGTTTGCTTATTCTTCTTCTTTCTTTTCCATATTTACAAGTTGGAATACTTTTTCTATCTGATTGAACTGCCATTTCCATTCGCTAAGAAGAAAGAACTCAGTTACACGCGAGTCACACTGGTTGGTTGGCTCGGCGTGTGATGAGGATGGCCCTAACGACTTAACGGGAGGTGCCGGGCGGGTCTCCAGCCCAACCAGCGGCTGGAACGATGTGAACAAGATGCATTAGGGCCATTAGGGTGCCAGGACCACGTTAGCAACCCATGTTCGCCATGAACTTGGAGCTTCTAGGCCAGTCATATCGTTCAGACCCCGCGGAGATCAGACTTGGCCCCCCTCAAAACACATCGACATCTCCACTTCGTTGAACACGGCGGATATCCCCCATCACACGCAGCTCCAGCTCTCAACAGTCTCAATGTTCTTTTCCATTTCCTGTCTCGATCTGCCGTCGCATGTCATTCGAACTGTCACCTGAGTTGTTAGCCGAGCTTGTATCGCATATTGATCTCCAGGGGAAGTTCCTGAGGTGCGGCGTCTGTCGCGATCACAAATTCTAGCTCTCCCCGTCTCCTTAATTGCGGATCGCACGACCATCGACTGCGCATCCCCTGTGCCTACGGAATATTGAGTACGAGTACACCTTCGGTCGCAGTCGAGGATCAAGTTTTGCAGCGGAGAGCTTCTAGCAATTGCTGCCGTCAACATGAATCGGCCACAGCCACTCCAGCTCAATACCCAGGTGGGACAGAATCAAAGATACTCATTCATTGAGACTCCACTGGAAATGAACGCCCGGACGCAGAACTATGATCTCGAAAGTCCCCCTCCAATGCCAGCGAACCCACCGCCAGTCCATCGACAAGAGCAGCCCACACCCGAGCAACCAATCCAGCAACCTCAAGCAGCGGTAGTGTATCAAGAAGACGAACAAGAGTCGCAGGTGGACGAAGGAAGCATTCCCACATACTCGCGATACCCACAATTTGACCAACATCCTGTTCATTTCGCACCAGCGGCCGATACTCCCCAGCCCCAACCACAGCAGCTCCAGATAGATGTGCAATCACCTCAGTATGCATACGGCCAGCCGCCTTATTCTCCGGGCCCCTTACCACCAAAAACCAACCCTGAACCTCCCCGACGAGCAGACACCTTCACTATCACCCCCGATGCGAACCCTCTGCAGTCACCAAGATCGCCATTTTTTCCTCCTCCGCCCGCCTCGGCTCCCTCACAGACACCGGCGATAGATGACTTGGCAACATACCATCAGCCAGGGCAAATAATGCATCCAAATCAGGAAGTGATGGGAGGCGCATGGCACCATGGTCTATGCGAATGCTCGAATTTAGGAACATGCTGCATGGGGCTGCTGTGCCCATGTATCCTTTATGGGAAAACCCAGCACCGCCTCAGCTTGAAGTCAAGAAAAGAGGACCCCACAAACATGCTAGGCTATGAAACATGCAATGGGTCATGCACTGCGATGGCTCTATTATGCGGGTGTCAATGTAAGTCAGGAGAATTTTCTGCGTCCATGTGGCCAGGCAGTCAGAATCGTGCCTAACACCGTGACATTCTAGGGCTTTTTGCAACTATACAACACACGAGGACGAGGAACGCGTATGGGATCCAGGGAGGAATTGCTTCAGATTGTGTGCGGGCAACTTGCTGTACATGTTGCACGTTGATTCAGGATGAGAAGGAAATTCAGGAACGGGAGAAGCAGCGTGGACGCGCAGCTCTTGAGCGTGGTGCAACTCTGCTCTCGCCATACACAGCCCCAGGACCGATGGCGTATCCACCGCCGCCGAAGTGACGACAGAGTACAGTACCACGTCCAGCAATTTGGAATATGTATGAAATGCGCAGTCTTGTACCTATAACGAAACGATGATGAATTATACATAATCGACCCTCGGGTGCGAATTGATTGGCGTACAAGACAGATCTTCCCTCCGCGCTCTGTTGTCCAGTCGGAATCAACGAAATTGGTGGAGTTGGGTGATATCCCGGCATACTGATTTCACCGAGTAAAAAATCGGAAAACTAGAGGGCATATGCATATGCATCGCATGTGTCCTGTATATTGTGGCAAGGTAGAATAACTTGAACGCAAGTTCCACGCGCATTGCCGATCTTCAGGTTCGGACCTGGTTGTTGGGAGTACTCGGACCTGTCAGATGGCCAGACAACCCACACATCTATAAGGATGTCAAATCGGTTACCTTTTCCATACACTATTGTTGATTCGCAGGGATGACAGAGCGAGACAAGGCTCACTTTGTACGGTGATCACAGCCACACGGAATTTCTGGCTCAACATGCGGGTGATCGAGTTGCGCAGTGGGTGTCACGGCAGCAAAAGGAAAATATCCAATTCGCTCTCGCTCTCGCTTTTGAAAATCCGAAATGATGTCAATGCCTCAAGTAAGCTTATACTGTGCAAGGATCATTGCAATATAGGAACAAACTAGTCAACAAGTAACGCTCCCTTCATGATAGACTTCCCGTGAGCTTATGGTTCCAATAATCGAGCAGGGATGTCTGTTTGCCTTCGGGGGCAATTGGGGGCAATTGATTCTGACAGCAGACGGCCTTTCAATTCACTGCATATTGCCTTTGAGATGTGTCAAGGCTCACAGCTCCAGAGGTCTCTGTGTGATCGTGCGATCGCGGAGATCTTGCGATCCCACGATCGGACGAACCAGATAGCCGGGTTGAATGAGATCATAACATCGGATAAGCCTGTCAAGACGAAGATCCCGAAACCCTGCCAATACCCTGCACTCAGAAAATACCCCCACAGCACACTAGCCACGGAGGTATGCAAGGTCATTTCTGAAGAGCTGAGGTTCGCTAAGTTGCGGAGTGGATGTGTCGACTTAAGTTGGTGGCTGGTTGGGGATCAGTGGGGCGCGGACGAGACTCCCCAGAACTTTACGTTCAACACTTTGCCCCGATTGAGTCTAAGCCATATTATGGCTGCTCGTCAGGGTTCTTGCAGACATTAAGCGCGATGAAGATCTCGGGTATGGACCGCTGGATCAGACGTAAGGGCGCGATAGGTCTATTATTCCACTATAGGGTGGCATTGGCAGCACAGCAACACTGGAGAAGTCAATTTTTTGCCGTCGCCATGTAGCAGAACATTGCATTTAAGACCTGTCTACCACGATCTAAACAGACTATCGGGTTTCTGCGTGGCTCCGAGGCTCTCCTGTTTATATTTATTGATCGAGGCTCTCTCCACGATATCCAACTCTTGTTATATTTGAACACATCCTAGAACATCAGCCAAGGGGTAACATTTGATTGTTGCTATACGCAGACGCACCTACGTTCACCATGGCCGACTCAGCTTCGCAGACTGCGGCTGGCTACGACCACCACAATCTGCGCCATGTTGTTATCACATCGACCTGCTTCGCTTTCATCCTTTCTACAGTGGCGGTTGGATTTCGAGTCATCTCGCGAAAATTGAATGGAACTGGTCTATACCTCGATGACTTCCTAATGATAGGAGCTCTGGTGAGCTTTTATGTAATCTTTTCTCGCTTTCAATTACTGACCGGACAAGCTTTTCGAATATGGAATTTCTATCGCTGGAGTTGTTTGTAGGTTTCACACAATCCTAATCGCGTGTATGGTCCACGATATTGACTTTTGCAGTACTCTATAATGGACTCGGAACACATATTGTTTATGTGAAGCCCGAACAGTTGGTTGTCTACTTGAAGGTATGTTGTATATGGTAATTTCACCAATCAGCGTATTTTCTAACTCTTACATATGTACTAGACCCTCTTTACCGGCTCAATCCTCTACACCTGCTGCATTGGCTGCATCAAACTTTCAATTCTCATGCTCTATCGGCGATTATTCCCCGTTAAGAGCATGAAAATTATGGTCTGGATCGTCTCAGCTATCGTCGTCCTATGGGCCTTTGGTGGTATCCTGGTGGGCTGCTTCACCTGCATACCGACCGAGAAGCTGTGGCACCCTATGATACCCGGAGGTTGCTTGAACATGGGCAAATTTTACTATGGACTCCAGATCCCCAACATTGTGACGGATGCAATGATTTTATTCATGCCCATGCACACTGTCTGGAACCTACCCATTTCCCGCGCCCAGAAGGTTGGCCTGTCGGGTATCTTCGTCGTCGGATTCTTGTAAGTCGCCCATTCTCTGGAAAATCAAAGATTAAACCTAACAAGATATAGGACCCTTGTATTTGATATCGTTCGTCTCGTTTCCCTCGTTCAACTTTCCGAGGCGGGCGATGATATTACCTACACTCAGGTCAACCCAAGTGTCTGGACATGCATTGAGCCGGCCGTCGGTATCGTTGCTGCCTGCTTGTCCAACATGCGACCCTTGTTCAAAGTCATGCACGAAAGGGTCTGGTCGCGCTATGTCTCGACTCATGCTAGTAGCCGGGACGATTTTGCTGAGAAGAACAATGAAAAATCATCTTGGACTCGCGACACACCCAGTCCTAATGGTACGACTGTGCACACTGCTACTAGCACCACTCTCTCGAACGAGGAAACTCGTCACCCCGATAGCCCTGCATGAGTACCTATCAAAATGGATATACCCTCTAGGTGCCTGGCTGGCGTTTATAATACCTTGGAATCTCGTCAGCAGCTTGCTCTGTCTTGCATACCATCTATTCTCACATTCAAGTTTCTACTTTATACAACTGGGCACTGATCATTCTGACCTGTAATAATTTCCTAACAACATATTTATCATACCTTTTTACAATGTCAATTATTTGATTCGAGAGTATAGCACGCAAAACCATCTCACAGGTATAAATTATGCCCGAGTGTAGTACTAGTAGCTAGCCCGCGCGGTAGCAACTCAATCGCGCCCTCCCCAAAATTTCGTTCCTCAAAAGATCATGATGATTCTTCACCGTATTTCACATGAAGGACGGGGCGCTTCTGGTGGGGAAATAGCTCAAGAAAGTCTATTTTCCAACAACATCCACTCCGGGCTCCTTACGTGTAGATAAAGAACGATCATACCTCGCAAAGGCTGGGAGTGTGACGCGCACAGAGAAGCCATATGCGCAAGATGAAGCTATGGGCAAGCGTCGATCATGGAAAATCTATCAGGAAATCTTGAAATCAGAGCTCCCATTGGCCGTGACAACGAGGCATCTGAGATGTCCCCCTCTCTGCCAAGCGGCACCAAATGCTAGCCCCTCCCGCCCCGACGCCCACCTGACTAGCAGCCATGCACAATGACGCGAGAAACTCTGTGCGAGAACTGACCCCGGAGAAAATAAAGAGCCCCCATATACCACGGCAAGGTCACACAGCATCTAACTGTCAAAGATGCGTGGACTCGATGAAAGTACCGATGTGTTGATTCGCGTCGGACATACAGCAAGCGAAAAGGTCAAGGATGGCTTGGGCGCCTTTGTCAATTTTGCGGCGCGGGATAATGTTCTTGAAGTCGCGCTTGGTTTGATGTTAGATCGTTCCCCGACCCTGATCTTAGCAGGGATCTGAGTTGCAGACTGACATGCTCAAAACTACAGAATTGGTAATGCCTTCACTAAAGTGGTGACATCGTTCGTGACGGACGTTGTTCTGCCGGTCGTCTCTCTTCTGCCGTTCTTGAATAAGAACATGGATCAGAAATTCGCGGTTTTGTCCAAAGGTCCCAATTATATTCACGGCCAAGGCTACAATACGGTGAAGCAGGCCAGAGACGATGGGGCTCTCGTGCTTGCGTGGGGGTATGTTGGCAGCCCCTGAGTTCCCGAAACTGAATATCCGTGCGAAACAAATGCCGGAGTGCTATTCTGACTATTGGAACAGTCTTTTTATTGAAACGATCCTCAACTTCATGGGGGTCAGCCTTACGTTATTTGCGGTCGCTCACTTATACATGGCCGTCTCACACAACAAAATCATTAAACCCACCGTGAGATGCAGGTACTGCAAAAAGTTCATTAGCGTCGAGGTGCGACTACAGTCCCTCCCCACCTTCTTCAGTCCATTGGCTTACCACTTACCAGGCTAAACGTTGTCTTAACTGCTCAAGCTGGCAGGATGGAAGAGAAGACTTGCCTGGGGAGCAGGAGGACCAGGACGATGACAGTACTCTTACCGGCGATAGAGCGTAGCTACATTCATTACAAAGGAGCTATCTCTAATTCGAGATAGCTAGATTCCCAAAAGAAATTGATACATGTTTGATTATCTAGAAAAGCCCGATCATGATCTTGAAAACTAAATCTTGCTCAATCGACCTTCCACAGAGCGCCTTATCGACGCCTGGCGAACACCCTTGATATTCACAGCCCCAGACAAAGCCATGGTACGAGAAAACTCTCGCTCTAGTATATTCATCACCGTTTCAACACCATTCCGACCATCATATGCGAGTCCCCACAACGCCGGTCGGCCAACGAGCACAAAATCAGCCCCGAGTGCCAGCGCTTTGAAGACGTCGCTTCCGTGCCGAATTCCTCCATCCAGAATGACTGGGATTCGCCCTCTCACAGCTGCAACAATTCCCGGCAAAGCTTGAATAGTTGACGGAGCACAATCTAATTGGCGACCGCCATGGTTAGAGACAACAATGGCATCAACGCCGTGCTCAATAGCAAGCTGGGCATCTTCCGGCGCCATGACTCCCTTCAGAATAATTTTCATCTTCGAATTCTGTCTTAAAAAGTTGATGGTTTCCTTCCATGTGAGAGAAGCGCTATTTGCCCCATCTCCAATCTCTCGACGGATCTCGCGTGCGTGCTTTGCCGAGCGCGCATCCATTAAGGTTCGATTGGAAGTTGGCTTGCCTGTCTTTTGTCCATAATCGTTTCCAATATTGGCCAGGTGGAGACCTTTTGGAAGAACAAGTGGAGTCTGTCGCTCATTGACACGATTACCAAGAATCGGCGTGTCAACTGTGAGAACGAGCGCTTCGTACCCCGCAGCTGCGCGAGAATTAGCTCCAAATCCTGAATACCGAGGTAAATGGAGCGACTTGAAACACACCTTCTGCTCTTTTGATAAGAGGTATACTGAGATCGAGCTCAGTTGCTAGATATAACTGAAACCAGAATGGTGTTGTGGATCCCATTTCGCGATTGATAGACATTACATCTTCCAAAGATGTGGTGGAGTTGGAGGACAGAGTGAGGTTCAAGCCCATAGAGGCGGCTGCACGGGCTACATCCATTTCTCCTTCACCTCCTGCTAGTCTTTGCATTGCGCTGGGAGCGATTCCAATGGGGAGAGGATATGTGTGGCCGAACAACTCCGTCGATGTATCCACTTCAGCGACATCACAAAGGACACGGGGTAGAATAAATAGTCTGTTCGATTTGGTTAGCGTTCGAATTAGATAACAGAAAAGACCTGAGAGAATACCGATCAAAATCAGTTCGATTTCTTTCTACCGCTGTCTGGTCGTCTGCGCCACAGGAGTAATAATTGTAAACATTTGCTGGAAGCCTTCTTCTAGCAATGGCTTCCACCTGATCGATGGTAATGGGATCTTCTTCGGCCATATTGCTCGTGCTCTGATAGCTGAGAGTCGAATTAATGAAAATGATAGGATAGCAGAAGAGGGGAAATCTACATTTTGGTCGTCAAATTTCGACCGGAAATTAATCCGGTAGAAGCCCCGAATATCGCCGTCGACTGACCACCTCGGCAGTATTGCAGGCTTGGCCATCACCAAAAATGAGAAAAAGACTAAAGATGAATGGTTAGCTCGCTGGGAGAGGAGGTAAAAAAGCAAGTTTCATAAAACTGTACGAGCTTTATGATGGTTAAAGAACTGATTTGAAACCATCATGTAACCATACTAGTACTAGCAGATTTATACTAAGAACTATATTATATCACATTTACTACCTAGGTAACTACCGTAAAACTCAAACAGACACTGGCATTAAAGATTGAAGGTGTTGACTACGGGTATATAATACTATAGCCTTTTACCTTTGTGGTACTAGTATTAATTAACTATACCTAGGTATTTAATTGCTAACCTTGGAAGTGTATTACTGGCATTCAATAGAAATTTGTATAATTACTACCCTAGGGTTAGAAGATGCCATGGCCCAATGACTATAAACAGGGGTTCTTTGAGCAATGCTCTGCAAAATTATGTGCTGCAGGTTCATGTAGGTGTGAACAAGGAAGCAAGGTCGTTGGTCCAGCCCCAGTTCCAAAAGTTGGAACCTGGGACCTGAATGCTAGGTTCCGCCCGGCTTACAGAACTAGAACCAGATCATTTCGAGGTCAAAGTCGCGCAAACAATATACCAGTCAATATCAACAGACTGTGACAAATTGCGGAAACCTTCCGAAGAGCCCGGTACATGCCTTCGCTATAGTTGCTTTAAGCTTCAGATAAGACATTGTGTCAAACCAGGAACATAGTACTCCAAATCTCAGTTGCTATAACTAGGGCCGGAGTCGCCGAAGCCTACCCCAATGTTAGCCTCCAAGCTCTTCGTCTCGGGCACCCTGTCTCCACTTCTTCATTCCAAATATCATAACGCCGATCTATCTTTTGCCCGGCCGGCTCATCCCTGGAAATCTATCTAGTGAGTATCTGCCGGCCGAAATACACTCTTCATTTTCTCTGTATGCTCTGCTTTTTGTTCCTGAACACTTTCTGACTGGATTTGATGCCTTCATGATGCTTGACTTACATTTCAATAAGCATTGAAGCTTATGATAGAGCACAGCTTTTCGGAAAAGCCTCCACAGTTTCTCGATCGGCTTTTCCTATACGAGTACGGAGTATGTGGTTCACTTGAAGAAAAGTAAAAGTCGGTATTGGTTGAGATCATCGTTCTCCACGTTATGGGCATCTTGGATATTGATATTCCATTTAGATGACTATTACGGATCTTACATTGGGGGCCAGTTTCACTGCAAGAACCTTAATTAGTAGATTGGGCAAATAAACACCAATCACAGCAGATGTTGATTGGTCTGCCAAGGCCAGGGTCAACCCGTGCCAAGGCCAACCCACTAAGCCTCTGACACGAAATAGTTGGGGGCAGCCTTGGCACGGCTACGGCTTTTTTATATTCTTCACGGACAAAGTACCCAACAATCTCTGATGTCATATTACCGACTATGGAAGGGATGGATGGCCAAATTAGGGGACTGAGAAGTATATAAAGAATCTCTTTCCCACATGAATAGCTCAAGAACCACCCAATCTACCAATTCATCTATACTACATTCAAACCCCAAAATATCATGGCTCCTCTCCGCAACACTCTTATCTGCCTGATGGCCGCATCAAGCGTCTATGCCGAGCACCTCAGAGTCGTCTGGTCATCTGGTAGCTTCTCATCAATCTCCGGCCCCAGCGGTGGCAATCAGAATGGCGGATACAGCGGCTTCGCAATCCTCAATGACGCTGGCGACGCTGTCTACGACCAGCCCTACCCTGATGACCATTCACCCTGCTACCTAGGCTCCGGCCGCGAGTTCACCATTGAGGGTGACTGTTGGGCCACCCACGCAAGTTTCAGTGCTCGGCTGACTTCGGAGGCCAGCCTCAGAGCTGTGCGGTCAAGGACGGCGACGGCAATGTCTTGGGCTCTGCCGACGCACAGAAGGATACTACTTTCATTGGTATTGCTATTGGTATTGACGCTAGCTGTGTTATCGAATTCGATTCCGATAGCGATGGCTGCCCTATTGATGATGGCAACGGTCCCCTTCACGTTACTTCCGGATAGATTGTGTTGCAAAATTGCAATGCTTGAAAGATAATGGCAAATTTTGGAACTCGTTTCTATATTATGTTGAGAAATGCCAAGGTATCGAATGTGATGGTAGTTTTACGTTGAATTTAGTAGCTAGCTTTCTCTTCCCTTTTCTCCGAATCTTTGTCTCTGCTAGTCATCCAAGATAATACCATACTATCATTCCATGTCGTTCTTATTTCTTGCTGTTGTTAGTATCTCACTGATTGCAACGCTGTTATATACATAGATCATTAGTCACACCGCTATTTCATATCCCGCAGGCTATCTTCCCCATTGCATGAGGTAGTAACCACTGCTCCTCTTGTTAGGCTGGCTCCGTGGCGCGTAACTACTAGTACAACACCACCACCTACTGGGCAGTAGGTAGTATAACTACTAGTAGATGGATTATCGTGTATTCTTTTAAGGGCTATTGTCGTACTAGTAATAATCACTTACATGCTATCGAACATGATTTTGCTTGTCCAACCACATTCGGCAACTTGAACAGAAGCAGACAAATTCATTTATTGACAAGGCTCCCTAAAGTTTTTTATTATTTTATATTCCTGCATTATATTATATAGCTTCTTGTTTGATTTGGGCAAGATCGTATACTTACGCCACTTCTTGGTGTTCTGGTTCCGTATTGGTGCTCGACGGTCAGATCTTGCCGGCCTTAAATAGGTTGACTTAACCCTTCCGTTTTCTGATGATTCACAACTTTGATGCGACTTTTGCTATCGACCCCGTTTGTGGGAAAATGCAACCCCAGGTATGTATTCATTTACTGCTCACATTTGGTATTATCTCTCATGGAATGGAAGGTGTTTTATTTTAACACAGTCCTTATCCGCGCGAAAACCGTTCAAAACCTGGATCCACGTCGCCGAGTGTATCGCCTGAACTTAGCAACATGCCAGGAACTACACGGTCTTCCGACCGTTGTTATCATCAAAAAAAATGAAAGATGGTTGGCACGATGAATTTGAACAAGAGATGCAAGCCTATGAGAGATTACAAAGCCTGCAAGGATTGATTATTCCCACTTTTTTCGGCCAAGGGACTTTCAACAACAGTCCTGCTATCATCCTTTCCAAGGTGGTTGGGAAAACACCCCATGACCTTGCCCAGAGCAGGTTGTCTTTATCTTTGGAGGATCTTCGACGTCAGCTTGAGAAATCCATGAAGCTACTACATTCGCATGGCGCGGAATATTTGGACCAGCGACTGGATAACTTCATTCTCTGCGATACAAGTGAAGTCATGATTGTTGATTTGGAACAAGTCAGATTCCCATTGGATCTTGAAGAAGATTGGGAGGACAGTATTAATTATGGGGGCGTGGGCTCTCTCTTATATCTATTTCACGATCTAAGAGAAAGAAAGAATCGAATCATCCAGGGCAGCTTTCTGCTTACAGGATCCTACTTTATGAGTGACTCCCTTTATTGAAGCCTGCAAATAGGGAGCTTGGCCATTCTGTAGCGAACAAGTAAAGTAACTACCACTTGGTCTTACGGACCTGGAAAAAAAAGGACTCGAGGACTATATTAATTAAGTATAACTACTAGACAAAAATAAGGTTGAAATTGACTCAAGTTGTTGTTGTTGAGACATTCTAATTTGAATTATCGTCTTAGATATGGGGTTTCGGACCGCACGGCTCGCTTGGAAACGAGGCTCGTTTGGAAACAAGGCTCGCGCATACAAATCACGTTATGAGTCCACCCACTTCGCTACGCAACCTTCAACCTACCCCGCCTGCCCACAGTCTCAACCCCGACCACCTTCAAACACGAACACCTCTGCCACGCGTGATACTTTTCCCAAGTAGCTTTATTCCGTGGCTGTACAGCAAGCTCTAGGCCACACCATGTCGATCACTCACATTGTCCTCTTCCAATTCAAATCCGGCATCGATGCCCAAGTAATCAAGGACGTATGTTTGGCAAATCTCGTGGCTGTGTTGTGTTGCATAACTCAATTGACATTTTGAAAGGTTTGTACGCGCATGCTCGGTCTGAAAGATAACTGCGTGCATCCATCATCCCAGAGGCCATACATTAAGGCATCATCGGGGGGTATGGACAATTCACCTGAGGGTATTCAGGTGAGTCTACCAAGCAAATGGCCCTTTACATGAATGAAGTGCCTGGTATACTACAGGGTTATATATGAACTCTGAACTCAACCGGATCGATTACCTCTAGGCCGGTATCACTCATGCCTTTGTTGTCGAGTTTGAGAACGCGGCAGACCGAGACTATTATTGCAAGGAAGATCCCGTGCACCAAGAATTTGTTCAGAGCCTAGGTGGACTCATCGAGAAAGCCCAGGCGATTGACTATACACCTGGTGTCTACTAGCACCTGTTCGGAGTTGTTACTGGGAACTCGAAGTGGAGGTAAATGGTACCCCAGGTTTGGCTTCAATAAATGTCGTCATTGGATTATACGCGCATTTGCGCCAGTCTTGAGCTCATGTCTTCTATCCAAGCATCACGAGGTGAAAATCACTACTTTCCAATATACACAATAGACCCTTAACAAGTATTTGAAACTCTGCTATTTATAAATGCATAACCTGTGGAGTGTGAATGCAGTTGCCTTGGATGATCATCTCTACTAGTTACAGTACCTGTGCGGGAGTCGGGAATTGATAGAGTGCCGACAAATGTAGGGATGTGTCAAAAGGCGGAGTATTCCGAAAGGGACCTGGGTTTGAATTTATAAAGACTTGCTTCACCCAGCTTGAACATCTAACATACGGAAAAATACATTTTCTAGTATTTGATGAGAACTTGGTTTCTACACCTGGGCAGTACAACCGCTGGATTATATTGTGTCCAAAATATCGATCTACTCTACTTCACCATGCGCACTTCATCTCTGCTCTATATCTTTGCCTTCACATCCTATGTGGTGGCTGGAGATGTAGATGCCAACGATCTTCCATCCCAATGCCAGGACGTCTGCGCCCCTGTAGTCAGCTTGACCTCATCCTGTGACAAGAAGACCAACGACGATGATACCGCCGAGCTGAACTGTATCTGCAAGGACTCTCGAGCAGCAAAGAGCCTACCGGATTGTGATGCCTGCATCTCAAAGTACAGCAAAGATGGAAGAGACAATGGTACATATTTTCTGACATGATTCATTGCCCACAACACTAATTAACTATAACTAGATGCAAATGACCTTGTTCGGTCCTGCTCATTCACTACCACTGAGTACACTGCCATGACCACTTCTGGATCAGGAAACTCCACCGGCTTCGCAAGCATGGCTACAGCAACGGGCTCCAGTAGTAGCAGCATCATTACTGGAAGTGCGTCCTCTTCGGGGGTTTCAACTGCCTCAAATGCTGCTGCCACAACGTCCAACGCCGCAGCCAGCCACTCTGATCCAAAGAATAGCATCATGGGTGCAGTATTCTTTGGCTTAATGGCGTTCGTTGCCTAAAAAAGACCGACTATTATCGCAGAGATACTTAGCACTGTATTTCTTTTTGAAATCTGGACTTTTTTCTCCACTTTCATGCCATCAAAATGAAAATGTATCCAATTCTTGTTAAATTTAACGTGTTCTATGAAAAGAGCTGGAGTATTCAGTTATACTCAATAACACCACTACAAACGCGAGGATCGTGACGTAGAAGACCACCCAGTTCCAGTAGATTCAGTCAAACCTCCATCAATAACCAAATTCTGTCCAATAATATAGCGGGCGGAATGACTCGCAAGAAAAGCAACACAATTGGCCACATCATAAGCATCTCCCATGCTTCCCTGAGGAATATTATGATCTGTAATTTTCTTGTGTATCTCGCGATCTTCCGCCGACTTGCTATTGCCTAGCATTTCCAACAATGGCGTATAAACCATCCCCGGAGCGATTGAATTAACCCGGATTCCCTTCGAAGCGTACATTATACCAGTCACCTTGGAAAAGTGAATAACGGCTGCCTTGGCCGACGCATATGCGACTTGGGGTTTGCCGAGATATCTCATGCCTGCAATCGAAGCATTATTGATCACAGCGCCGCTGCCCTGTTTTTCCATAATAGGGAGAACGGCATTGCAGCTGAGGAAGACTGATTTTAAATTCAGCTCAATCTGCGCATCCCATGCTTCCTCTGACATCGTGGCTGGGTCTCCTGTTTTTGTTCCGCCGACGTTATTCACGAGGATATCGATGCGGCCATACTTGGCTGCTACCTCCGTGACGAGTCGTTGAATATCAATTTGAGATGTTGCATTGGCTTGCACGGCCTCGCAGTGGTTCCCATTTGCCTTGATATGTGATGCGGTGCGCTGTGCTGCTTCTAGGTTCAAATCACAGGCGATTACTCTTGCGCCTGATGCGCTGAGAACTTTTGCGATGGCAGCCCCGTTACCCCAGTATTTCGATGTTGGGTCGCCGGATTGGCCTGCTCCTACGACCAAAGCGACTTTACCTTTGAGGTCTGGGTAAATAGCGAACTGTTCCCTGTATTCAATTTTCAAATTTAGCAATGCCGCTCGCTTTTCAGTGGGGTGGGGGCTATGGTATCACCTGTGAGCCATATTGCGCGAGTTTCTATGGGGTAAAAGCAAATGAAGAGCAGAAGAAAGGCCCCTATATGGATTTGAGATACAAATTCTCCCGGAGGATAATAGTGTTCTTAAATAGTTGAGCCAGAGCTTCGGGGCTAGCAGCCAGTGGAAGACCCCCACACAGCTAGTACGTTTCGCTGCACTCTCCGATGATTGCGGGTAAACGGAAAACGATATCATTGATTGGCCTCAGAAACTTCCTGCAGCACTCGTGTCGAGCCTAGTCAACCTTGAAGGTCTTACCCAGCACTTCCCCGCTCGGAAACATGCCGGCTACATGGCTATGCGTCGTGGGGCCAAGTTGGCCATAAGTCTCATCGCCCTCAGCAATGGGGAACATAATGATAATTGAAAATATCAAGTGAGAGGGGATACTCATAATTTTACGTCGTTATGTCTCTAGGCATTAAGATCAAAAATTCTCACCCCTTTGCTTGAAAAGATACTCAACAACAGCCAAGACCATCAATTTGTGGGGAGTTGTCTTTCTCCGCATTTCCCCAGATTGATATTCTCTACTAGCAGGACTGACTGCATGCCACATACTCCGCTGATCCGGAGAGAAAAGCGATAAATAAATGGGGAGTTTCCTTACCCTCGAAGGCCGCCCCCTCAATGCATTTTCCTCAAAGGAGCATCTCACCATGTCGCAAGTTATCAATGATCTCAAAGTAGAGGCCTCTCACGATGAACAGGCTATCGATATCGACCCTGTTGCCGAAAAACGGCTCATTCGAAAGATTGATCTCTACCTAATGCCCTCAGCCTTTGTTCTCTACTTATTTTCCTACGTGGTACGTGAGTGTTGAAAATAATATCATGTGGACCTTAAAGTACCGCCTGGCTGATTCTCTTCAGGATCGATCCAATATCGGCCTTGCCAAAATTGCCGGAATGGAAGATGATCTCAATCTGAGCTCGAATCAATATTACATTGCCGTTGTCATATGGGTGATAGGGTATACCATAGGTGCGGTACCTTCTAAGTATGGACTTCCAACATTTTCTCCGAGTCCTATATCAGTATAACGCAAGAGATAACCGAGTTCCTCATCCACAGTATGATTTTGGCACGCACCCGTCCATCTATTTTTATCCCTGTTATTACCTTTGGATGGGGATCCATGGCAGCTTTGATAGGTATTGTTCAGAATCAGAGCCAACTGATCGCCCTACGATTCTTCCTTGGAATATTCGAGGCCGGTTTCAGCGTAAGACGACCTCCCCGAGGCTCATCGAAGTCGAAGTAGAATTAGGTGGCAATTGCTCACTCCATTCCATCACAGCCCGCAGTCATCTTCCTCATTTCTACCTGGTACCGAAAAGGAGAGCAGTAAGTAACCACGAAACCAGTGATAGCGACTTCGACCGGCTAACCGTATCCCAGATCCAAGAGATTCATCATATTCCTCACAGCCGGGATTCTCTCCGGGGCTTTTGGAAGTGTCGTCGCCGGCGCAATCACATCAACTTTAGACGGTGTACACGGTATACGAGGGTGGCGATGGCTTTTCATCGTCGAAGGCGTCGCAACAGCAGGAATCAGTCTAATCGTTCATTGGACATTGCTTGACTACCCACACGCCAGTCGCGGCCTGACAACAGAAGAGCAAGACCTGGCGCAGAAACGAATGGTCCAAGATGGTGGAGCCGAATATGTCGCGGACTCGGGCCAATCTATTCTCAGCGCATTTCTAAAAGCCTCCTGCGACTGGCGTACCTGGCTTCTCGTTCCGGCGTATATGTCGATTCTCGGCGCCTTGGCTATTTCGTACTTTTATCCGACTCTGGTTGATGGTATGGGGTATGATGCAACGGCGGCACAGTATATGACTGCGCCCATATATCTCGTCTCGCTGGGGGTTGCGTTGCCGGTCTGTTATTTTGCTGACCAAAGGCCTCACCTCCGGGGTAAGTTTTTGGTAGCGAATTTATTGGTCGGTATGGTATTTTTTGCTCTCACGGCGGGTATTCAGAATTATAAGGCGAGGTATGTTTTCCTTTGTTTTATCAATATGACTATTTGGACTGGGAATGCGTTGGGTCTTTCCTTTTCGACGACGGCGTTGGCGTCGGTTGATAGGGATGTTCGAGCTATCATGTTAGCCATGATGAACGGTGTCGCGGCGCTGGCGCAATTGTATGGAAGTGCTTTGTTCCCGGCTGAAGATGGCCCGGAGTATTTGGTTGCCTTTTCGGTATTTGCGGGTACATTTGCTGTTGGTGCGGTGTTTTATGGGTTGGCTGATTTTCTCTTCAAACGATATCCCTATGAAGGCCGTCGAGGGTGATTTTGAGCGTTTAGGATCGAGTCGCCAATTGAAGTTTCATCACAGTATTATATTTCTTAATGTGGTGTCAATTGGTTATACCAAGGCTGTCAGGCGGATGAAAACCTAATCATCAGAAATCCAGATAAAAACATAGCCTGCAAGAAATTGCCTTCGCCCTAAATGTCCAATGACCCGTGATCTATTAACCACCAAAATTTACATGCATTCTTTCCGCCAAGCAAAACAAAAGCACACCCTTCTATCAAAACAGTCAAAAAGAAATAGATGGTATAATATCGAAGCTGCACCGTGGCACACTGAAGCTTTTCCGTGCAAGTTCAGTGGAGGCCAGGCCGTTGGTCACAGCTTGGCTTGTCGAAGCTTCCTTAGTTGGTGACCTGGGCGGAGGAGGGAGCGCCAGTGTACAGGACAAGCAGGATGATGGACAGAGTAGCACCGGCCATGATACCCTTAGCCTTAGCAGGGTTGGCGCGGCGGTACTCGCCAACTTGGAGGCGAACATCAGTGGTGAGAGAGTTGATCTTCTCAGCACCGAGCTTGTAGTAGACGAGACCAGCCAGGGCGATGGAGTAACCGAAGAACTGCTGGGGGGTGACGGGGTCACGGAAGATCATCATGGAGGCACAGACCAGGAGAATATCCTTGAGGATACCGGCCATGGTGAGGACAACAGCGGAGGTCTTGCCAATCTGTGGAGGAGTTAGCTTCCGTTGGTTTGCCGGAGATGGGGAATGTTTCTTACCAGAAGAACGACGGAAGCGTTAAGCAGGAAAGCAACGAGAGCGTTGGCGATAAGAGTCATGATACCGAGGCCGTAAATGTCGTTCATAGTCATGCGGGGGACATCGGTGAAAAGCGCGATGACACCGTTGGTGATGGCGCAGGCGGGAGCGTAGTAGTACAGGGAGACCAGAGGGTCCATCTTGAACTCAGCGGAGCTCAGCAGACGCTGGACCATGACCAGGCGAAGAGCCTCGAAGATGATACCGCCGACCTGGATGATGAAACCAAGCATGTCGAACTGGATCTCACCGAAGGAGGCGATAACAACACCGACGACGATGATACCGACGTTGCCAAGGGTCTTGAAGTTGGCGGGAGCAATTCCAAAGGCCCAGGTGGCAAAGAGGGTAACAACAGCGTTGGTGGCCTTGAGCATCTGGATGAAGGAGACACTCAGGTAGAGGTAGGCCAGGTTACCACAGATCAGACTCAGAGAGAACATGATACCGATGGGGACAATGGCACGACTGGATGTAGCTATCAGCGGCTGACCTACATGACATGCACCTGTATGGCAGCCACAAAGCTTATTGAGAGGGGACTCACGTGTAGGTGGCAGGGTTCATCGGGACCTTGTGGCGAGAGTCAAGAATGGTGGTGCAGCGAGCCAGGATCTGGGTCATCAGGGTCGCGAAGGCCATGTGCCAGGTGGTCAGGAACAGGGCTATAGAGGGTGTTAGAATTGGTTATTCGATTCGAGGGGAGATTGTATCGTCAATTGATGATCCGATTTTCGGTGGACTCACGGAAGTCTAAAGAGAGAATTCGGGTTAGTTGTCATGTTCACGATGGATGGGTATTTCAACTGGTCCCAATGAAAGGCTCCAGGGAGAGAGGATTCTCAACTTACTGAACTTGGCAGTGTGCAGGACCCATTTGTTGAACAGAATGACACTGGAACTCAGGGCAATCCACAAACTGGGAGAGGGAGTCAGTTAGCAACTTGAACCATTGGCAATTGGCAATGAGCCAGGGGGGGGGGAGAACGCACGCAATGTAAAAGGCAGGGTGGATGCCATCGCTCTTGGAAGCAGGAGCACCGTTCTCAAGCTTGCGTTCATCCTTGTTGTTGGCCATTGCGAAGAGTCGTGATAGCTCGTAAAAGAGTGACTGAGGTGAGTAAGGGAAGAGTGTAGATTGGAGATTGGGAAAAATGGCATTGAAGGGGGTCAATTCTGAATTTAGGGGCAAACGAAAGATCGGCGTGGGGGCGGTGACCCCATTTGGAGGGCTGTGATTGGCTGACTGCCAAATTGGTACACGTCGACGCGTGGGCCCTCCGTTTCGGTTTCAGGTTTTTATCTGGCCTTTTTTTCTTTTCTTTTCTTTTCTTTTCAGGCTATGCTCAGGGTCTAGGTGCCACTCTCTGTCAATGCCCCTTTTCTCAAGGCTTATTTTCTTTTCTTTTGCATTTTCTTTCGCCTATCGCCTCCTGACGATCCACCTCTGGTTCCTTTAGTACACTCTACGGAGTACTCCGCCCCTATAAAGAACTCTGTCTTCATACTCGTATCCAAATCTTCAATTGATTCATTAATCTATGTACTCGTACCCCTACCATACCCGAGACGCCTGTCACATTAACTAGTGACCCCGTCAATCCTTGGCACGATGTCTCCAGTTTCATATAATGTACGTCATCCGCTACCACCTAGTTTGCCCGCAAAATCTCAATCCACACAACCAACAACTTGAACCCACAAACTCCACTTACTCGCTCTTAACCGCTTAAGCGTCTTGCTGCTGAATCTCCACCAAGTTCCCATCAGGGTCTTCCAGAACCAAAAATGTCTCAAACCCAATAATACTCTGCGCCTTAACAAGAGCCTCCTTAGCCGCAAAATGTTCGCCCGCAAACTCCCCAATCCCAAACGCGTTCTGCATCCGGCCCGTATGCGCCGTTATAGGAACCCCTGTTTTCTTAATGATCGTAGCCCCCTTCTCTTCGAAATATTCTTCCGCTTTTTTAATGTCTGGCACAATGAGCCCAACATGACCAAAGGTGTTGGTGCGTTGGGTCGATGCTTGCGGATTATCATCCGACACATTGAATTGTACGAGCTCAATGAGGCCGGCTAGGTTGTTCTTGTCGCGTAGGAGTTCTGCTCCGGTTTGGTATCCAGTGCCGTTTCGTCCGCCCTGGGCGAATCCCATATAGGTCACGGTGAACTCGGGCGTCACATGGGCATCGAAGAGAAGTCGCATTCCCATAATGTCTCCGTAGAAATGTTTCATTCCGGTAAGGTTCTTTGTTACAAGACCAATATGGTTGATGGCAAAGCCAAGAGTCGCTCCAGGTGCTGGGCCGTCATTGCCAATAGTAAAGGGACCGTCGGTATTGTCAATGTCCCGGGGAACGCATGCGTAGGCTAATGAGCCTAGCAGCAATGCAATGCAGTATCGAAATAACATGGTCAAATACAGCGGAAAAAAAAAAAAAAAAAAAGGCAGAGTATTTAGGAATGGACTGCTAGTGTATATCAAAGAGGAGCGGGCTTGATGCTTTTGAGTTGTATGTTTCCAATGATATCTCGAGGAATCTCAGATCCTTTTATATTTTTTCATCTGATATTCATTTATCAAGTCGGAACCACGGACTATTAGGCGTACCGCCAGGCTGACATCCTTTGGCTACTATATTGGCAGTGGCAAGGGCGTTTTTATGCAAACCTGCCATGAATAATGGCATCTGCCTTCGTGTTCACCTCTTGGCCGAGACACGGCGGGGTGCTTGGAACTTCATATGGCGAATCATGGTGCGGTATTGTAGATCAGATCCTGGATTAAGAAGCAATGCTAAAATGGCCCCCATAACTCTAAATTTGCACACTCTTATGAGAACTCTTGCGGCCACCGCCTGATTGAAGGTAAAAGAACATAAATCTACGCAGAAACATACATATGGCTCTTCTGTATACACCGTACGATTGCATATTCAGCCAAATGAGGCTCGCAATAGTTATCAACCCACTGGCCTTTTTGCGACGATGATCCGTCCTGACTGAGGCTGTACCTACTCCTGCAGGGCTGACGTCTGTTGCCAAGCGCTGGGTCGGACTCCAAGCAGAAACAAATGCGCTCCAATCAGCTCACAGCAAGAGTGCTAATCTCACCGCTCCGCCCTGACGACATCTTATCTAGTTCCAAGTTGGTTATCTCCTCTTTGGACTTTTACTATCTTTTATTTTTCTAAATCGGGGCTTGATAGCTGGGCATAATGGATGGAAATGAATATATTTTTTGTTAGCACGTTGTGGGGGCGATAGATTTACCCAGCTGGTACTCGTACTATGGGAAAGAAACCAGTACCTCGAATGGTTTGCTTTGGTCAAAATTATTTCAAGCCGTGTAACGTGACATTGATAATGTCCCTAGTTCAAGAGATATGTAACTCCCTATCGAAGCAACCGATGTGGGCGGTCTACGAGAGGAGAGGAGTGAGGAGTTATCACCCCGCATCACTCCGGCCCCCATTCCAGATTATCTTGCAAGAACATAAACTTCTTTGCTTCCAGCACTCCGTGAATAATAATGGACATAAACCTAGTCGATGAAGCCAAAGCGGCTAACTGCGACCACATCCCCATCATCGACTTATCGAACATAGGTAGCCCAGATGTCGAGAAACGCCAAGAACTTGCTCGAGCAGTCTACGATGCATGTACCCGTGTTGGCTTCTTTTATATCAAGGTATTTGAGGTACCTTGTTCAAGTTTGATAACATTCGCATCTTTGACTCTAAAATGAATGGTTTTATTTGATAACAGAATCATGGCATACCCGAGCACTTGATCAGCGAAATCCATGACGTAGCAGAGCGATTCTTCAGTCTTCCAAGTGAGGAGAAAATGAAGGTCTATATCGGAAACTCAAAGGTTTATCTACTCCAATGCAAATAAGTGATATACAAGGGCAATGAAAACCTAACGTCTCGTTTGTCTGCAGAAATACCGCGGATATAGTCCTATCGGTGCTGAACGGACCACAGGCACAGATGATAACCCCATCCCAGAGGAAGAAGCAGCTGGTGTCCTCTCCGAGGCCTTCGTTATTGGCTATGAAAACGCACTTGATTTTCGAAAATCTGAGAATGATCATTTACCTCCCGGTACTTATGAGCTGTATGGCGACAATCAATGGCCTCACGATGAGACCATCCCTGGTTTCTCCGCAACCTATATTCAATATTGTGCCACAGTTCTCGAGCTCTGTCGGAGAATGCTTCGAATCTTTGCACTTGCGCTAGAAGTTCCGGAGGATTACTTCGACTCAAAGATTCACAATCCTGGTGTCATTTCTAGAATGATGCATTATCCCGCTCAGCCAGTGGGAGACCCCCGTGAAGGACTTGGAGCCCATACAGTGAGACTTTCTTTCACAGTTACTATTAACTTCGTTACTGACGAAGAGAAAATCCTAAGGACTTCGAGTGCTTCACTATACTTTCTCAGGATGCGGTTCCTGGATTGCAAGTCTTGAATCACAACGGCGAGTGGATTCTAGCACCACCTATTCCAGGTACATTAGTTGTGAATATTGCCGACTGTTTATCGACTTGGTAAGTTCAACATATCACACTTTTTAAAACAAATAATTGTGACACTGAATTATGCTAGGACAAATAAAAAATTCAAATCTACGATTCATCGAGTAGCAAATCTCTCGGGCGAACAACGCTACTCAATCCCTTTTTTCTTCGGAGTCGACTACGATGCCACTGTGTCTGTTCTAGAAAACCACACATCAGAGGAAAATCCACCGTGTAGAGAGCCATTCAAGGCTGGCGATGTGAGTTGTCATAATATAAATATTGGATGTGGCGCAAAGAAATTAACCCACCCTCTAGTGGGTCCGCGAGAAACTATCCAAGGCATATCTACCCTACGAAGGGTGATATCGTTATGGATGCGACCAATATAGGCTATTTAGATAACCATCACTTCTGACGCAGAAACAATATTAAGCGGAAGCAACAATTTCTTATTATCCTTTTTTATAATAAAGTTGCCACGGAGAGCCGCAGCTTCTGCCGAATGGTCTTAAAAATGCTCAATGTAGCGTCCGCAGCTTCATGATGACGTGCCCAGGGCTCTGTCATTTCTATCACCATCCCAATTAGCTCGTCAAAATCTGGCACGAGTGAGGCGAGTGATGGTGTCGTTTTAGCCATTGAAATGACGAATACAGCAGCCAGAAGGCTATCATAATGGTAATCAGTATTGAAGTATATGCCGGTTTCTAGACGGAATAGAAAACTTACGCCTGTAGTCTCAGCCAAGTCGAATGTGTCCTTCGCCCAAGAAGTGGGACTGTTGCGTGTAGCAGCTTTCGACAACTTTCTACACAGGTCTCGCAATTTGCCTTGACATATTCCGATAAATGAACTTGACGAGAAACTGCCGCGAAGACAAGACATGGACGAGAAATGATATGTTTTGCCGCATAATATCTTGTACGTAGCTGAGTATCTTGGAGGTCTCGCGAAGTCGGATTTTGGAGATCTGGCTTGATGGATTCGGGTAGCGAGTCGAACCACGCTTGGAGTTGCCGACTTAGCTCAATATTGACTCCCTCCAGCGATGCGATTGAAGGCTCGTAGCTCAATCGAGCTCCATTGGTGAAATTTCCTCGGTAGGATGATTTGTCTGGATTGGTGTCTCGGAAGAGTACATTGTGTTATGGATGCGATTTAGAAGTTTCCGGATAGAGCACATGGCGAGAAACATGAGGTTATTTCGCTCGTTTGGATCTGTGAATTCGGGGAAGGATAATCTATCGACAAGAACTTCGATTCCACTGCGAGGGAAGTGAAATTCCGCGAGATCGTCGCTGTGAATTTTCCGATATTTAGCTATTGATGCATAGACATTAAAATTATATTTACCATTCGAGAACATAACAGCCCCAGGCAATTCGGTTCAATAATGCATGCTTGTTTGAGGGAACATTTTTCTCATTCAGACTGAAACCATTAGCACATAATCCTAATTAAAATGGAAGGAGTGAATATTTACTAGGAGTAAATCAGTTGGACAACGGTAGAGGCTGTATGTATCAACCGCCATGCTTGAAGTGGTCTTCCACTGTATCGAAAGTATAAGGACGCATAGAAGAATGTCAGCGGGACAGTCTGGTCCCTTGAAAAGAGAGTGGTTTGCCCGGCCATCAAAATTTGATACGCATGGGCGAAATATTCTGCACCGACTCCGGTCAAAGATGATTCCATATCAAACAAATCGTTATGTCTTGAGAACGTCTCCCCAGTGCTAACACTGTGAGACATAGGCAGCACCAATCTCACCAATCTGGTCATTAGCTAAGAACTTCTCAAGCAACTGTAAAAACGGCTCCTTTTCCAAAATAGGAAACTGAGAGTGTACATGCGTGAAGAAATTTGAAATAAGCAAATTCGTTGCGGGAATATCTCGATTCAGCCGCTCAATAATCGTAGACATTGCAGTGCCCGGGGTGAGAAAGGGTATCTTGCGCTCAGACTCGAGCAACAAAAAGAAATCTTGCGAATAGTGACCAATAAGCTTTCTGATTGGATCAAGTCCTAAAAGATTCCCAGTTGGTGTTTGGTGACCCAATGGAATAAGAATTGGGTCGTTTTCCATATATGCTTGCCCAATACCGGGAGTCATCAACATAGTTCCGTCAACGGAAAGAGAGCCGGGTACAGAATGAAGACTTTGTCTTCGTGTCTGTGAAAATACCACGGAAGGACTAGTAAGCGAATAATTGACCGCATCTCGATTGGAATAATCCGATAATACGCGATCGGATAGCGTAGTGATCACTGCAGTCTGTTTCTGGACAAGACTCTCCAGTCGATCTAAACGAAGCAGGAGTTCTGCTGAGGTATCACTTTCAGATCTCCACATATTTTCAGCGGTTGTTGTTATCTTTCAACTTAACTTTGAATTACCTTTCGCTCGTATTCTCTTGGTATTCGCACTGAGCGCCTGCATTGGCGCAAAACCCACAAGCGGGCTTCTCGCCGTCACATTTTCTTTTTCTAGAAAGAGTTAATGGGCTAGGTCTAGACTCGCACGGCTTATGAATTCTTGCTTACCGATGCCTGCAGAATGTACATGCAATCGCGGCGCGTTTTCGAGGGAAGTCCATCTGGCTGCAAGGATTCTTAAAGGGAAAGGAGGATCGGATCTGGGGAAAAGGTGGGGCAACTTGTTTAGCGGAGGTTGCCAGTATTACTACGAGTAATTTACTAGCAGTACATTCTAGTACGAGTAACGCCTTATTAATCATCTTCTGGATATCACAGTACTAATATCGAGTTCTCTTCATCTCCGTCAATTTTGTTCAATCACAAATTTCGCATAGGAAACTAAGCTGAATTCCATCCAATACCTAGCTAGTTAGAACTTGTCCTACTTCTGCGGTACCATACTGGTCAACGCCTCTGCTTTGCCCAGACTATCAGTAAGACTTGAGACCCGCCAATTGGAGCAAGCGATCCGAATACTCAGGCTCCTCAAGAGGCTTAGATCTATTGCGAGGATCCACGCTCCCATCGTCGAAACAAGCTTCTCTCTCACGAATGACAACATTATCATGTGCCCAGTGAGTGGTTGCCAGGAATGATTCAAATGCTTCTTTCTTCCGCTCAAGAGTCTCCCGCGTAGCCAATTTCGCCGGTGAATATGACGCGTAAATAACCGTTCTAATAGTGTTACTATCGGCCGTGGGCTCACCACCCCAGTGCACTGTGCGTGAATCCCAGATAATCAAGTCACCAGGCTCGGCGAGTACTTTGATGGGCATCATACCGCGAGACTCAAACCAGGTCATTTCATCCTCACTGATGAAGCGGAAATCCTTTTTCTCCCACGTATCTGCTTTTGTTTCTGTGTCAAGGAAGTTTTCCATCACGGTATTCGACCTTGGAAGCACAATAAGCGATCCGTCCTCCGGGCCGGCGTGGCTCAGGTTGATAATTCCCTGAACGCAGTGCAGACCTCAACGCAGGGGTGATTGATCCACATGGGGCCAGGGCTTGAGGGCAGACTTATCCTCCCTATTAGGCAAAGTCACATTCAAGGCATCGAACGATACTAGTAATTCATCTGTGCCCCAGATCTTAGAAAAAGCGTCCAAGATCTTAGGCTCCATGCGAGCCTCCCACATGAATTTCTCATGGACCACGGAGTAATGCTTGAATGTGTTCACTTTGCTTTGTATGGGTAGATTTTCTGTTGTCCAAGTGGAGCGGTCTTGAAGGTTGAGTGGAGTGCCGAAGGATTGCAGCCAATCTAACGCCTTTTGTTGGTAATATTGCGCCTTTTCAGGGTCAATCGCGTTCTTGATCACGGCGTATCCTTGCGACTGAAGGTCATCTCGCCAATCGCCGTATGGGCCTGCGAGGCTGATAAAGGGTAAGTACCTGCACTATTAGATGTAAGACAAGCCAAGAAGCCTCACCTGAACGAAGATTTATTGAGTGTACTAGTGGTAGTACTAGTTGAAGACATTATGTATGGCTGGAATTCTGGAACACTCGAAATTTAGATTTGACTGTGAACGGAATCCCATATTTATGTTGTTGAGAAATTGACACATCTCCTTCGTGGGTCCTGTGCCAATTACTTTGCCACGTAATTAGCACATCAAAAAGCACAATACTCCTCTTTAATCCAGTGAGAGACTCGAAATACTGAACCCCGCGGCGGGTAAACGGGCCGCCGACCCCTTCGTGCGAATTTAACTGGTTGTTGAAAAAGGTGGGTCAGTCAGCAACAATTGGCATGGTCCAATGTCTTCATCATCGTATGCGATCGGTCATTACTAGTGGAGGAAAGATAAGGGGTACATCTTGTGCCACAGATCCCGATACATGATAGTCAAGACAAAATCGCAATCTCATGACTTATGAGTCAAATGGTTTTGATATTATACTACCACTGGCAGTACTGACTAGGACCTTGGAAGACATCCACCATACTAGTACGAAAGGTAGAGATAAATATACATGCGAACAAAGGCAATATCATCGAATGCACTGCCCAGCTTCAGCAGAACACACCGTGGGGATAAAAAAAGGTCAAAGATGAATATCCATTCCATCACCCTAGTACCACAAAGCCTCATTCCAGTAGAGACTCTTCGCATTAGCGAGGTCATCCTCTTGGGTGTACATAGTAGTGTTGAAGACCAGCTCAGTAGCATTGCTACCATACTTCGGCCAGTAGGTCTTATCGCTGGCCCACTTCTTGTTCGGGTTTCCAGTCAAGACGAAGGAAAGAAGGTATTTTTGCATTTTGCGCTGTATAGATGATCGTCGTTAGCATGGGACCAGAAATAAGGGAAAGACTTTGGAATGGAATCACATACAGCAACCACAGAGCTCACGGAGGAGCTACCGCCAATAGCGACTCCGGCCCCGGCAGCAGCACCGCCAGAGCTGGAGCTGGAGCTGGAGCTTGAAAGAGAGTAGGTGCTATACCCTGTTCCGGCGAGATTTATTAGCTTAAACCAACTTGAAAAGATTCCTGACATGAAGGACTTCTTACAGTAGTAGCTCTGATCAGTACCATGAGTAGCCTGCTCAAGGGCAACCATCGCATTCCATGTGTTGTTGTTAAGAGCGCGGGTCACGGCATAGTCGTGAGCAGTAAGGTCGAAGGATTGTCTCATATCCGCAAATCTGTACCCGGGGCTCGAGTAATCAGAAGCAGGGTATAGATCCATAACCTCCTTGACGACATCATCAGTGATACTGGGGAAGAAGGCGCGAAGTTCACTCTCCACGTCTGCGGTGGTGTTAACGCCAGAAGTGGGCGAGCCATTGTTCTCATGCTGCTCGTGTGTAATGACCAGTGGGCCAGTCCAGTTGAAACGACCCTGGTAAAGCTGCGACTCGTAGGTATCAGCCACAAAGTCGCCGTCGACACGGGGCTGGAATTGGTAGCCGTAGTCATCGTAGACATCGGTCGCGGCATCGGTCAAGTTGGTGAAGGAAACACTGCGCATGCAAGCGAGGTCGCCTCCATTGCATCCGACGGCAGTGGAGACGTTCTGCCAGAAGACTTCGCCCTGGTGATGACCGGCACCGGGGACGAAGCCCGGGGAAGTCACGTAGGCTTTATGGAAGAGCTGCTCATTGTGACCTCCATAGCGAGTCATCATGAAAAGAGGCATACTTCCACCAGCGGAGAAGCCGAAAGAAGTGACATCGTCCGGGTTACCGCCGAAGTTGCTGATGTACTTCTGAACCCACTTGAAAGCATGTTCGACGTCGTATAGAGCGACATTATCGGTGGCGCCCTGGTGAGTGGCAGTCACCGAGTTCGCAATTCCAGTGATTCCAAGACGATAGTTGAAAGAGACAAAGATGAATTCCTTCGACAGGTCGAAAAGGCCCTCAGGTGTGTTCTCCGATTTGGAGCCCCCGGTAAAACCACCACCGTATGTCCAAACCATCACGGGTAGCTTCTTGCCCTTTGCATTGGCTGGGGCCCACACATCCATGTAGAGGCAGTCCTCCTCGGATGAGCAGTCAACATCGGCAGTAGCGTATGTTGTGCCATTGTTGATGCCCGTCTCGGTCGAAGGCCACTGAGGCTTTGCAAAGCGCAGTTTGCCAGTTGGAACCTCAGCAAATCGAATGTTCTGGTATTTGTAGTATCCCAAGGTACTGTTTCCAGCGGCGGCCTTGAGAGTGGTATAGTCAAGAGCGACGGTAGGCTTGCTCGTCGATGCGCTGGAAGTTGGGACCGCTGCAGCCAAGGTGGCGGCAATTGGTAGTAAGAACGTGGAGAGATGCATTGTATGCTGAGCTTAACCCACAGGGCCGGACAGGTGAGTTGCTGAAATTGTGTTGCAGATGTTCCATGATCCTGTTCGTCTTAAGTAGTATCCCATATCCTTGTTTCCCCAGGATATCTTCGTCATGGACATGACGCGGCAATTCGCGCCACTCCGGGCAAATTGGCATGAGAAAACAATACCAAGACATTTAGCCCACATTTCAAGCTATGTTAGCAAAAGCCAAGAGACGGGAGATCCAGATAAATGACCGAAGTACTCCCGCTAGGGAGTTCAGAGCACATTAGACTTGATTGAGAGATGAGGCAGCTGCATTATCCACAAATACCACTCTAAATCTCATGTTTACCGAAGTCTGAAGACCCTACTGATTGGTTCGCCCGAGGTTTTGAGATAATCTAACCAAAACCAGTACAATAGTCCGTCTACGTATGATGATCGGTGGGCTTGGATGAGGCGTCTCGAGAATATCCGTGTGGCTCAGGCCGTAGGGGGTTCTTTCAACGACCCACACACGAGATGTTTTATAGCAGTGATGACGAGGATCTCAGGTTGTCTTTCTCCGATCTGCAATCAAGGTTTTGCATGAGAACCAATTGCAGGATTGCCTTCCCAAAGAGTTTGTGGGGATGGTTAACTGTTTTAGGGCTGAGCGGGTGAATTCATTTCCGGTCACCAAAAATAACCTTAGAACCTTCGTGTGAAGAACCTTGATGGAAAGGAAGGACCGTATTTTGAGGACTGAAATAAGCTATGATGATAGATCAAAGTGTCACCTCCCAGGCAGCAGTTAGTCAAATTATCCATGGACTTGAACAAAATTAAGCAACTCACATTGTAAGCTGCCATCGTTTTTGTCGAATGGCAGTGCAGTCCCCACATAATTTCCACGAGAATCTAATCAAATTAGGGGTTGAAACGTTTTCACAATCTCAATGGACCAATAATTGGTTGTCAAAAGGCACTTGTAGAAGAGAAGATGTTCTTGATCATTGTATGTACTTATTGTGTAGACCTAGCCGAGCCGAGCACCGCGGCCTCCACGATGACCCCAAAAGAGAGAGAGATAGAGAGGAAGAGAAAGAAAATGAGACAGGGAAAAAGAAGCCACGACCCAACACCTATATAAGCCTATTTCCCTGCTCTATTAGAGACACACAATCCCACTTAAACGAAGAAAAATATTTCCTAAAAACCAACCAACACCAACTATCCCACAAAAACTCCCAGTTATATCGCTGTAATATGTAAAACATTCTAGTTTCAGGCGAAAAGCAAGATACTCATATTTCTTGCGCGTCCAGCGCCCAAATCTCCCAGTGTTGTAACACCTCCCATCCAACTCGTCGCATGCGGCGCCGGATAACTTGTCGGTCGTTTGTTAGGACGGGTGGAAAGCAACCCGTCTTTGCGAAGCCGGGGTGAGTGCTCTCGGATGATTCGCGGGCAGTTGTATGATAAAATGACATGCGGCTTTTGCTTTCATTTTCGTCGTCATCATCCCGATTGCGTTTGCCTAATGTTGACGGAGGAATATTTGTGGCAGGGGTGGAAGCTGTTTCAGGGCCGGATTGTCCGTTGGTATTGTGACCACCGCTTTCTTCTGACGTTGCTTCGTGCTGATCGGAGGTAGGGTCGGGCGATTGGGATTCAGACTCATCGTAAACCGGCAAGGGCGCCTTGTAGAAATCGCGTAGTTCGAATGACTTCCATCCCATACCGACGACCTTGACATTTCCATAGACATTCTTATCGGCCAGATCATAGCTCATCATCTCCATGAGAATGTCATCGTCCAAATCAACGATGTCTGCCAGGCTACGGGCGTTTTCGAGCTCCCGCTCGATCTCTTCTGGTAAATTTAGGCGGTTGCTGTTGTTCTGAGAATGTGAGAGTTTTGGCAAGTTTCGGGAATTTTGCGGCGCTGTCGCCACTAAGTGTATGAGATGTGGCTGAATTCGGAGCAGTGCCATTCATGCAGCCTTGCGATGATGCAGAGCCCGCGGGGATCAACAAGCGAAGGGCTACCAGTTTCCGGAGGAAGGGTACCAGCATTCCCAGTGACTCCATACTTGAAAACTCCGTAGCGAGAGCGAGTTGCTCCAAGTTCGGACAGGCGTGAACAAGTCTTGCAATCATGGCTGTTGAAAGAGGCCATTTGGAACACAGAAGTAAATGGCGTAGACTGGCGCCGTGGTTTATGGTAATGTGGGAAAGATAGCTATCACGAACGCTGGTGGCCAGGTTCAGCTGGCTAGCCGGAGATGCGGCGGCGGCGGGTGAATTTCCCATGATGCCGTTTGTATTTTCATGCACTGGGGGTGTGAGTGCTGATGAGGCAGGCCCGAATCCCGGGCGAGGTGAATTGAGATAGTCGCTTGAATCGGCGGTCACGTTCACGAAGTATAGTCGCTCGAGTCCCTTGAAATTGCCCAGGAATTCCGAGTTGCGCTTGGAGACCGCATCCACACGAATGGATTTGATCTGCAGTTTTTTATGGGGCACCACCGTTGGCCAACTATTCTCGATAAATGTGTTGACGAAGCCTGTATTATCCGTGCCGCTCAGGAAAGTGACATCCTCGACAGTGGTCGGATCAAATGCGATATTGAATTCCTCGGTGTGGAAGGCATACATATTCTGGAAGGAAAGCTTCTTGACGGGTATGGGGTGTTTTGCGGCGATGCATTTGCGGAAATATTCGTGCAGGGACACGCTGGGCTCCTGCGCGATGCGCATGCGAGGAGACCAATGGAGCTTTAGTTCGCGCAGCTTTTTGCTCTTGAGGAGCATTGTCGCTATGTCATCAGGGTAGCAGAGCGGGTCGATATCGGTGATTTTGAGAGATCGCAAATGCGGCATGCCCGGAAGCACGAACGTGGGTTGAGGGTGGCGAGTAGAGGGGAAGCGGATCGTTAATGTCGTGAGTCGAGGAAGCTGCGTAAGTCCATGATATACATTGTCCAGCATTTTGGTATTCAGTTCCCAGTGGAAGCTCTCGAGATTGGTCATGCGATCTACTGCCGCCCGCACCGCGATGTTCAGCAACATCGATGAGTCGGGCACGCGGCCAACCTGGGAATGCTCCTCTCAGTTCTCTTTCCTTCCAGTCTCCCCGGAGTGTTACCGATCGAACGAGCGTCGCATATGGTCGGGTGATAATTGCATTCAGACCCATCGTGAAGGGACTGGCGCTTCCGATTCCTTCTGGTTGTTCATTGCGATACCGGATTTTACCGTAGGAATTGAGAGTGAGGCTGCGATAAAGCTGTGGCAGGGCCATGTAGTTGAGAACGCGACATGTGCGACATAGTCGGGCAAGGTCGCCAGTATCGTCGACCTATATAAGATATATCATGTCAGTTCAGTTTTGGTTGACGCGACCCTATGAGGGGATTTGATAAGAGCTGACATTTGAGACGATTTGCGCGATCAAATTCAGTGGCAGCCTCATTAATGAGCCACCACCGATCGGCCCGGTGGTTATACTGGCACCAAACATGTTTTGATTGACGGCCGCCATGATGCGACATGCGACATCTGGTCTGTCAAGGCATGGGAGGATGGGGGGAGTGAAAGGGAGGAGGAATATGGGAATATGGGAATATGGGGTAGGCAGGTAGGCCCGTTCGGAGCAAAAAGTTCCCGATCGCGCAAACGATCCACTTGGACCAGTCAGCGCTCGCCCCAATGTAATTTCATAACTTTCACCCAAGGATAATCCAAGTGTGCTGGCGCACGTTTTCTCTTTTCCATGTGCATGAGCAGGGATCGTGGGCAATTGACCATCGTCGGATGACGCAAGGGTGTGTGGAGGCTGTCAGACACGAGATGACACTGCACGAGGACTCGGTCCGAAACTGGGGAATTCTTGGTGACAAGCCAGGATTGTATAAGATCAGCAGGAACGTAGTACAGTAGTAAGTGGTTCAAGTTGATATTAACAAGTATGTAGTATTAATATGTATAGTCCTAGGGTATCTTCTTTTTACATAGTTCGGATCCATATTCATCGAACCATGTCCTAAATCCTTAACCCAAATCCATATATTCAAATAAATCACCCAAATAAAAACGCCATGAAATGTCGGTCAAAGGCCGGAGTCGCGATCAAACAGCCCTAATACGCCTGCGCACATGCATGCAATCGTCCCGCAGCAAAACAGGAACAACAAAGTTAACAGAATCAAGGAGACTCGTGTCGATGAGTCGGCTGGTGTGACCCAGAGCCACCATGTTCGGAAAGACCGTCGTCTCTGTCCTCTGAAACTGTTGTTTCGGTCCAGCTGGCTTGGTCGGCGATGACGGTATGTTCTTCGTCATGAGGATGAGAGCCCACATCTTCATCGATCAGCGCCGCTGCTTCGGGATCATATCGTAGAGTGTAGTCCCCATCCCCATTTTCAAGATCCGCATTGCTCCAGGGGGCGGAAGCCTGTGGCTGGGAGGGGATAACTCTCACGGGAAGATCAGGACGGGTAGATCGGGGTTCGTGACTGGTTTGGCTAACTTGGCTAGCTCTCGATTGATGTGCGCTGCTTGAGTCAAGCAGTCGATTTTGTGGAGACCATGTATGATGTTGGCCCCTTCGACGAGCAGGGATGACAGTAACCGACAGTGGCGTATCCGAGGCTTGTCCCGAGCCCAAAAGTCCTTTGCGAGAGAAAAGGGGGTTCCCTTTGGCCTGCGAATTGGGTTGCGTGTCTGGTTCCTGCCCGCCAAGCTCATCATCGTCATATAACTCAGATTCGTCTTGGCCCACAGGCTCCCCACCCGCTTGTGCAGAAGCAACTTCCCGTGGGAGGGATGCACGTCTCCGCTTAAAAGGGTTGAGAATAGCTCGCCAGCGGGGATCCTGGACAATCTGAGGGGACTGTTCTCTGGTCTCTGCTTGGGGTGGGGTTTGATCGGTGTCATTATGATCTTGTCTGTCTTCGATCTCAGGTTCCTTTTCTTCTTCCATTTCCTCTTCTTCCACCATATGCGGCATCGTCACTGGTGGTGTAGGACTAGAAACCGGATGGTATCGAACGTTATATACCGTGCTTGCCGCACTAGTAGTATCAGCCCGACTGACCGGAGTCACAGCTGCCGGTGGTGGAGTGGGACGGGTGCTGTTCTGCGGGAAAGTAGCATTGTTCGTGTTCGGCAACAATCCTCCCATGTTGCGATTGCGATTACCACGAGGGATTCCCACTCGAGTTCGGAGAGGACGATGGCCCAAACCCATCACTCCACCCCATCCGGACGATGCACCATGTCCGCCTCCTTTGTCGCCATGCCCCGTATAGCGTGGCCAATCAACCTCTTCCGAAGGAGTAACTTCGAGCATTTCATCACCATCGAAAACCTCTCTTCCGAGAATTCCGTCTTTCGTCTCGTCTCGTTCAAGTGCTTCTATGCGTTCCACCCACTCCCAGACTACCACACTCGCGGCGGCGGATCCAACCCATCTGATATAAGTACCCCATCCGGCGATTTCCGGCCGTGCGATATCCAAAACAAAAAAGACGACCGGTATCAAAATCGCGCAGTAAGATAGGAGCGCAACCAGCGCGATATTGCGCATCTTTGGGTGAAAGAATGCAAAACGATGTTTCGAGATCGAGTAAAAAATCACCCATGCGGCATATAGTAGGTTGAGAGCCAGTTCGAACAGATAGCTGAGCGCGGGAATCGCATCTTCGTATAATCTCGGATGTGTCGAGGTATTCCTGAACCAAAAGTTCTCCAAAATACTAAATGTGGTATCCAAAACGATCAGTGCAAAGCCAGCCCACTTGATCATGACTTTCTCCTTATGTCGTGGGAACAGTCGAATCAAGGTTTGGACTTGAGCCAACCACAAGAATGTGCTCGAGATGACGCGAACGATCCGAATCTCCAACCCATCGATCACCTCTTCCGAAAGTGCCTCCGCGTCCGAATATCCATAGTCATATTGGCGCTCCGCGACTCGGAAAGAATCTACCGTGGCGATCGTCAGGGAGATCGCAACGAGAATGGCGGCCACCTTTTGCAGCCAGGGGCGACCTCCGACTCCGACGACGGAGGAATTTCCACTATACGAGCCGCTGATCATCCCATGGCGTCCGAGGAAATTCGCACCACCCCAGGTCCTCCAACGTAGAATGTTCGCGGTGTGATGAGAAGTATTATAACAAGGACGTAACTGACGACCGTTGCGCATCCGATGGCATAGAGTTGTGGTGTGACTGAGGAATAGAACGGATCGCGGGTATCAAGGACGGCAGAGACATGAGTATAATCCTCGGGTTCGCCTGTACAAACGGGTTCATAGACGGCATTTTTATCGAGGGTGACGGTATATGAATTGTTAACGTGTAGAATGCCTGTGGCGGGGAGTCGCAAAGGCAGCAGGATTAGTATTGAGTCCAAGTCCAACAAGGGGGAGCGAGTTCAGGCGAAAGCAACGCGCGCACATACCATTGCTGGGGAGAAGAATTGGAGTACAGCCGGACGCATAGGTCTTGGTCGACGTGGTGGTCGGGTTCGCCAAATCTGGCGGGGAGTCACACGGGGTGCCTCATCTCCCATGGTCGAGTCGATTCAGGCGGTTTCTAGGCTCGACTCGGCCACTGCAGATCATGCAGTCAAACAATTTCCGCCGGATCGGCTCTCAATGTTCAACGCAGAGTATAGTATCGGTGTCTCGTCTGCTAGACGGCCATTCTCGAGGGGAGGCCGCGCGTGCAGGACCAGATGTGGTGCGAAAGGGAGGCGGATAAAAGCGCAGTCGGGAATCGGGTTGCCGGTCGGTGAAGGGGTGAGGGAGAGCGAAGAATATATAGCGGTAGGATACAGCGCGGTCAGAGATGAGACCTGATCAGGGGATGGGAGAGATCGGTAGGTGAGAACAAGTCAACTTGAAGTCAAGGAGAGAACTTGAAGAGTCTGGAGTCTCTCTGGGGTTGAAGGTCGAGATGATCCGCCACTCTGGTCCACTTGGCGTTCGTTCTCCACTCTTTTTTCTTACGCCTACTACTAGTACTAGTTCTATTGAACAAGGAAAAGATCACTTTCTCTTAAAAGCCTTGATTCATTTGGAGTACACTTGTCGCATTGAAACTACACACCAAATAACCCCATCCGGCCCATCCGGGCCATCCGGGGAAAATGAAGGCGAGGAGGACGAGGAAGACGATGATATATAGACTCGGCGGGGCCAGGGAAAGGTCCCTCCAAACAAGGCATGCCCAGGTGCTGTCCAGGTAGTGGCATCTCTCTCTCTCTCTCTCTCTCAACAAGGCAAATCGGCAAACACGAATTCCAGTGTAGAAAGTAGAACATAGAGGATTCCGAACTCCAGAGGAGACGGACAAGACTTGAAGAGCGTCCAAGCAAAACGCCGAGCAATAGAAGGTCAAGGTGAAGATTGAGGTATGGTAGGGGCTGTCCAAAACCCAAATGCAAGGAATCATAAGAATATTTTGTGGATGAGGACCAATGCATCATGTCATCTCAGTCTTTCGATGTCCAGGTAGATTGCCATTTCGACCTGCTTAAAAAAGGTCGTCCCGAGTAGAACCAGCGAATCTGACTCCCTGGTTAATCGCTGGGTTGGAGCAGGGGTCATAGTGAGTTCTGCCCCCTTGAGCCCTTGAGTTTCTTCCTGTGATATAAATCAATATCCATCCATTGCTATGGCAGGAAGGTGGCGGTAGAATGATGTACAAGGTTCATAAGAGACAGCGCTCTAGCAGGACGTGGAGTCTCTCAAGGTGAGATAATAGGCTGACGGGTCGCCATAATAAGGAAAGTGTATAGACTGTGATCGATCACAATTCCTGTAAAAGGAAGCATGTTGTTTGATATTGCTGCCAGACGGCCCTTACGCCTGCATCTTCATATTGACGTGTGATGTCCGTGGTCTCTAAGTAAATCGGTCTGAGTAGAGTTCATGTCATAGGAAAATCGTTGTCGCAGAATATGTGGTACTGAGAAACAGAGGGATGGGAATGAAGCTAAGTTTTCCATGGGAGGGGATCACAGTTGATAAGTAAACATTCAGTACTAAAATAGTCAACAGTAAACACTGGCAGTAAACAATGGAAGGAGGAAGGTGCAAGGCAGGCAAATAAAAGTGGAAAGTGAGAGTTGTGGAAGGTACTACCCAGGGAAGGTTAAAACAAGGTGGAATAGTACTAGTAGTAGTACTAGTGCCAGTACTAGTTACCCATTTACTACAAGGATTTCAAACGATATCCAATGCTAGTACAAGATGGAACAATCCCAAAGAGTCTATCAATTTACTACCCAAAAAGGCAGTTTACAGCGAAGATCAATCTCAACCAAATGCGTAGTTTATATTATGTGCTGCACGCATTCAAGTTTATAGTAGACACCATGTACAAGCCAAGCCGCGTCAAGACTTAGGCGCAAGGTCACCAATTCAAGTTGTCACATAGATCATCTCATCCCAACATCCTCCGAACAAAGCTAGCCTGCTAGCCAGCCAGCCGACAAAGAACAAAAAAACGAATGGTTTCATTTTCCACACACACACACACCCAGCAAGCGGGAGGGGGCGGGAAAAGTACTCAGGCTCATTAAGAGTTTGATTTGAATTTGACAAATCGAATTAGGCTTATGCCTGGGCGGCGAAGCCGAGGCGAGGTCCGTTGGAGTCGAAGACAGTGTACTGGCTCTTCAGGAAGATGTCACCGAAGATAGAGAAGCCGAGACCAGAGTTGCTCTGGATACCGCCGAAGCAGGTGGAGCTACCGTCACTGACGGGGGCGAAGTTGATCAGGTCACCGGAGACAACGGCGTCATAGCCGCCAATGGTGACGGTGAAGTCGGGGAGCTTGGAAGAGCAGGCGAAGGTGTAACCACCGGCGGACTGGTCCGACTTGGCACCGTCGACCTGCTTGTAGTAGGCGGAGACAACATCGTCGGGGAGCATCAGCAGGGTGGTACCAGTGTCTAGAAGAATTTTGGTGAGCTTTGGTTTGGACACATGTTGAGTTTAATCGAGGAAGGATTTCACTTACCAGCAATACCCTTGATAGAACCACCAGTCTGGCTGCCAACCTTGTAGCTGTCGGCAGTGAACATCCAGAAGCCCTGGGAGCTGTCGACATCAGTGTAGGCAAGCTGGCCGGTGTACTTGGACTTGTCGATGTAACCGAAGTCGTAGGAGCCGGGCTTGTTGTGCTTCAGGGTGACAGCGAAGAGAGGCTTGTCGAGCTGGCTCTTGACAGTGTCGAAGAAGGTCTTCTGGGCCTGGGGCTTAACGGTGTTGATGGAGCTGAAAGCCAAGCCCAGCAGACCATCGTTGTTCTTGTCCTGCACGAACTGCTGGCTGATCTGCTTGGCAGCCTCAACGGCCTGACCAGAGGCCTTAACACCACCGACAATGACGGTGTCCTTGTAGACGTCACCGCTGGCAGAGCTCTGGTCACCATAGGAGATGGACCAGGTGGCGCCGGACAGCTTGGTACCGTTGCTGGGCTTGTAGATGGAGTGTCCACTCTGCTCAGAGGCGGGCAACTCTCCGGAGAAGACCCAACTATATAAAGAAAAGAGATTAGCATTTGCCATTAAGATCTAATCAGCCAGAGTATAAACTTACAGATCGGCAGAACCGGTGTCGAAGTCCAGGTTCAGGGTTGTACCACCGACGTTGACGGGAGTCAGATACTCTTCATCATTGGCCTCGGGGGTGGTGGTAGCGGAGCCGCTCTCAGCAGCAGCCTTAACACCCGAGGGGATGGTGGCGCCGTACTTGGAGAGGGCATTGGCGTACATGCCGGGCAAGTTGATAGTCCGGGTCTTGGTGACAGGGCGAACCGACTGGTTGATAGTGAACTTGCTCTTTCCACCCATCGGCACAGCCGAAGAGACGGAGGCAATACCGGCCAGAACGGCGGTGACCTTGCTGAAGACAACCATAGTGAATGGATTTAAAAAAAGAACGATACTCTAAAAAGAATGGAGAGTGATCGAAGGATGTTGAGAGGATTGGATGATGGATCTATTCAAATGGGCCGGAGGTTAGGCCTCCTTTATAGGATAGCAGACGTTTCGCCATTGCAAGCTTCTTTTGACAAACAGGTCCCGGGGTGGCACCTATCTCAGGGTCCAGGAGAAGGAGAACTTGCTCTTCCGGGAAGCCCACGGTGCCGATCCAGTACTCCAGGGACCCGAAACCTCAAACTTCAAGATCGACGCGGAGTCCATCGGCCAGCCAGATTAACACGACGGAGTCCGCCAAGAGGGGCACGGGGAGGAGGGCGACCAAGGAGAAGATGAGACAGCATCTCGGTTGGTAGTCCAGGCTGCTGCACCTGGGCGTTCAGGGCACGGCGGGGATCACGCCTTGGGTGCGACAGAAACGAGAAACGGAGGCTTGGTCACGACAAGCTACACTGCCAAACACTGGTGCCAGAACGGGGAAGTCCGGCCAAGACACAACACGAGTATGTAGGAAGCTTGATATCCATTCGGTAGAGCCCTGACGATCTCCATTCGCTGCCATCTTCAGGGTTCAGGTGGGGCGAGACTCCAGAGCCAAGCGATAGACTGTACGAAGTAAGTGAAGTGGAGGTGGAAAGTGATCAGGGACCACGCTAAGAGCAAGAGTAGTCCAATCCATCATGGTTGTCAAATCGAACTGCAATATCAAAGTCGAGGGGATCGAGACTTGGCCCTGTCGATCATCGCCTGTTATCTCCATGAGCAGCCAATCACCTACCCAACATGGCTAGCCACAGACTTTCCCCTCCAATCGAGGTCACATCGCGCCCGCGGCCGCCTTCGCAAGCCGGGAGTTTCATGGATGTGGGCAAAGGTAATTGGAGGGCTCTATCCACTGGTGAAGCAGTCGCTTGGAACCTTCGATATGAGCCCACTCCAGTCCACTTGACCCCAGAAGGACTAGAGGCAGATCGGGACATGGCAGCGCACTCTGGCATTGGATCGATGGAAAGCAGCCTAAAGCAGGGGATAGCACGAGCCTCGGGGAATAATGTGAGCCCGTCGTCGAATGATAGACCTTAATATCGGTCGGCCGGAGTCCGTGGCGCAATCCACCCTGCACATACGTTGAACCCATGCCGCGCGAGCTTGGCGCAGACAAGCAACCACGCCCAGAGATGCCCAGAGTATCGATATAGTGGAAATGATCGGCCAAGGCGATGTGACCCTTGACGGAGGGTAAGCCATGAAAGCCTTCTAGATGCTCTAATGCATGCAGCAGCCAGCCCTGTGGCGAGATCCTTCAGTGCGGCGAACGGCCTCGATGTGGCTTCCGCAATAACCAAACGAAGTGTAGGATCGGCCGAGCTGGATCGACGAGATAGCAGAAAGTCAAAAGTTGTAGACAAACTCCAAACTCGCGATCACATCTGCGTGGTTGAAGAGACATGATAGGTGCGGCTGGGAGGGGTTGGAAGTGCAGGTACTACAAGTCATGTTGCCCTAACCACATTCCTCCGACGGAAAGTGAGTGCTTCGGACTCGCCGATTTACAGATGGAGTTGCATGCACATGAGTTGTATGTACTTATGTCCATTTGCAGGAGACATTCATTTCAAGCTACTAGTAAATGTAATGGGTATTTCCATTCAATCTTCCCAATGCAAGCCGAAATGGTTCTTACCCTCCTTTTTACTCCGTATATCATATTTACCCCCCTGCTCTCTAGAGACAAAATATCTCTAGGCCAAGCCACCCGGTAACCTATTCTACAAGGCTGATAGATTCAAAGCTAAAGATTAAGCATGTGAAGATCCTCCACCACGCGATGAAACTAGGGCCCCGCAATCTTGAGACCGACGGAGACCGCATAGTGACCTTTAATCTCGATCTTCCATACTTTGTAGCTGATCCAATTAATATAAAAAAAATGCCTGGCAAAGGGAGAAGGTGGCAAGGCGTACGTATTACAGAGCAAAGAGAGGGAATAAGAATGGTCTAGATGACAGGTACGAAGAAGGCAGGAGAAAACGTAGGAGAAAAAGGTCATGTTTCAACCAAATTGCTACATCGACCAATCACGGCCCAAGAAATGCACTACCAAAAATTACCAGGCGGGGTTTTCGTAAGGGGGGTATATATCGTCAAACGGGGAAAGGGGCAAAATGCAAGAGAAAACAAAGTACGTGTCTCATCCAGTTCGAAGCGGAGTTCGAGGCAGACCCTCGGCCGGGATTAACGGGCTGCCGGGGCTGTCAGAGAGCTGTCAAGGCAAAAACTGAGACGCAAGCGCCCCACCCCCAGACTCGCCCTCACCGTTGGCATTTCCACCGTCATAGCCCTCATTCAGGAGCACTTCTAGCATATCGAACTCGCCTAGCATTGGACCAGTTCCACCCAAACCTTGATCAACAACACCGGTGGAGCTGTTGAAGAATTGGTCCAGTGGCAGCGCAAACCAATCTAGCGTGCCTGACGTACTCGTCGCTCCATTTGTGTCCCCAACAGCCTGTGATGAAACAGCATGGTTTGGTGAATTAATATCGTTGGTAGGCATCGTCGAGTTCGAGTCGTAGTAATTGTAGTACACGGATGGCGGAGGCGGCATAAATGACACGTTCAGGCTGGAAGAGTTAATGGATTGCGAAGGAATATTCGCCAGTGGATCATGGCCCGATCCGATCGGGTGTCCGCCGGCGCCGTTACTATCCACATATCCCAATCCAGTTCCGCTCGGTGTAGCATCTTGGCCGTGAGATGACGACCAAGGGGTTTGCGGGCCGTCACGGCGACCCGATACGGCCTCGCGCGGTGGAGAATGAGCTCGTGAAACCGGTGCTGAGCCACGGTCGTGTGCGTCGCCATCTCCTCCGCGATCGTGTGGCGCAAATCGCAAAAAGCGTGTACGAATGCTACTCGTCAGAAGCTCCAGCAACCGAGCAACGGTGTTACTGATGTGGACATCATCCACGACAAACGTTCGCAGTGCCTCGACTGTCCGGTCCTGGAGATCCAAGGAGACTCGTACATCGTCTTCTCGGGCACCTAATGTGAAAGTCTAAATGGCGATTTTTGTGAGCTCATATTAATTTTCGGTGGACACAGAAGAGAACTTACTTTCAAAATAAATATCATGCCAGACAAAATGCGGAAAAAAGTCCGGATAGGAGCATGCTTAAGGCGGCCACCGGGGACCAGCCCTTCCAAAACAGTCTGTAGAATCCGACGCGAAGCATCTACAACTTCCTGGATATATTGCTCGTTGACGCGGTATTGCTCCATCAAGGTCCGGAACCAGCCAGTGCTACCGGCAGATGGTCCCATTCCAGGCCGAGCAGGTTGAGTCTGGCCGGACTCGTTGGACATAGTAGTCCAACGGTCAACGACCGCTTGCAAAGCCAACGAATTCACGTAGAGCCCTGTGCCATGTCAGTGGGTACTGTTCATTGATCTAAAGAGGCTTAATATCATAACTCACGTGTATACTCATATTCAATAATCAAAACACTTCGCATAGCCGGAGACACTATTCCTTGTCAATAAATTGAGACAGAGCAATTATCAACGAAGAACTCACTGTTAACACGGTCCAGATGATTTCGGAACTCTCGTAGTTGAGGTTGGAACCAATCGATTCGTTCCCGGTATCTCCCATCCGGATCAGTTCTGATGTCTGCTCAGTCGAAGCGAAAAGTTGGTGGTTGGCTTGGTACACAATCTTAGATATCCCCATCCAACAATCTTGCATCCGATCCAGATCTGAGTCGCCTTCTTTCATATCAGCGGTCGTTGAAGCCGGGTCTTGGCCCCACTCGGGCAATGGAAGCATGGAAGGAATTCCAAGGCGTCCACTGCTGTGTGTAATGAAAACCAGAATCAGCCGACGCAGCCGAAGCTTCCGCGAGTGTTCTACTTGTGGTTCAGGGGCTGTTTTTGATTCACTCTTGTGGTCGAAAACTCCAAGCTCAAAAGCCAAGGCTTGAGCGGTGCTGAGCAGCATCCAGGACATCCGATCTGACCGCCAAGCAGGTTCCAGCCATTTTTGAAAGGCAAGACGTCCTTCTGGAGAGGTAGCCGGTCCCTTGGCATGTTCGCCATCATTTTCCAAGTCCTTGTCACGACTGTATGACTGAGCGTCCATGTCCAAGAGGGTATTTTCGTCATCGCCAGGTGGGAAATGAAGGTTGCGTGGGTGCCAGTCCGTGAGAATCAGTAACGCTTCTACGGTTCCCAGTGCTCTTAGATTACCGTTGGCGTTCGGTCGTCCAGATGTTGGCGCTAAGTCAAGACCTCGAGGCCCACGAATGCCCGGTCCGTTAGCGTCAAATTTCTCTTGGCCCCAAAATAGTCGTTCAATCATGCCGCGAAGATAGGACCAGAGACGATCATGGATGTAGAATGCCCGGGTGCTTGCTCCGTCGCCCTGGGGTTTCAAGTGTCGAGATGAAATTGTGAGAATAGTCACAGCTAGCACGGGCTCTTCCGTGAGTAATGTTCGATGTGTCGAGGGTTGTGAGTAGTCTGGCGTTACCACAGGACTCATTGGAGCAAGGTTCTCATAGTAGTAAGCCACGTAATTCATGCCTTCTTCTACAGTCATCCATCCGGCACGAACAAAGCGTAGCCGTGACCATGCTCGAACCGCATCGATGTATCCGGGATCTTGCGTATCTGTGGAGCTCTCCTCCTGGTGGTCCGCGGGATCCGAGGTCTGGGGATCTGCGACCCCTGCACCACCACCTTGAAAGTAGCCATTGTTACCACTGGAGGACAAACCGGATCGCGGGGTTCGAGAAAAAGACCCGGGCGAGTTGCCATGTGCCAGCGGCGAAGGGCCGGAATTAAAGGATGAGACTGACTGCCGCGCATTAAAACGATTCTCGAGGCTTTGGCGGTTCAGATCCTCTGTCCTGCCGGCCGCCTCTGAAAGTAGATGTAAGGCATCATGGGTATTGGTGATGGCTGGCGACAAGAGCTCCACCGCAGTCCGATTCATCATGGGCTGTCCACCATATACCGGTACCGAGTTCAAATTACGGTCTCCGGTAGCGTATTGCGATAGGCGCGGAGCTCTGGAATCGGCAAAAGGTCTTGACGAGGAAGATATGGGGGCGCTGGGGGTATATCGTTGGGCAGCGGCCGCAGCTGCCGGGGCTGGAGCTGGAGCTGGGGCTGGTTCTGCCCATCGCTGGCGCGCGCGAAAGCCCTCTACGTCGAATGAGGGCTCAGCTGCGGGGAATGGAGAATCTTCTGTGGGTGCTTCTTTCACAGAGACCTCACCGATCATCATTCGCTTGTCCCGTTGAAGGACGGGCCCGGGGCCGGGAGTTTCTTCTTCATCTTCTTCGGCATCGGAGAGCTTGCGCTTGCGACGAGTGGCTGAGAATTCGCATCGTTTACTCTCACGACGACATCGAACACAAGGTGGGGGACGAGGATTATCGACACCTGGTACATGATTTTTTTAGATTAGCCAGCCAGTGACAAGCGGGGGAGGTATTGCTCGTACTGCCCAAGTCACACTTCACCTTGCGCTTGCGACACGGATCGCAAGCCTGATAGCCGCGCCTATGCTGCGGGGCAACGGAGGGCGATGGTGACTTGCCGACATCCGCGTCGAGTCCCATGTTGTTTGTTGCAGCAGGGTGGGTTTAGCGGATTGGCGATGCTGGGGAAAGCCGATGCAAAGCGAAGATAAGCTGGAAGGCGGTCTGGAACGGACCGAGGAGGGGAGGCAGATTTATTTATGCGACAATTGATTGGATGCCGCCATTGGAGAACTGGAGACTGGGGGGGATTGGGGGACTGGGGAGGAAGGGAGATTGGATTGCCTGGAGACTCGGGGACTGATTCAAGAGGAAAATTGGTCAAAAGGTTTTTTTCCCTCTTTTTTTTCACAAAGCAAAATCTAGGCTCTGCACTATCCGTAGTCCACGTCGCCGACCAGCCACCGATTTCCATTGTATAATAGAATAGGTCTGCGGGGTAGAAAAAAAGTGTAAGAGTTACATCGCCAAACCCTCAAAGTGGATTGGACGGGTTCGCTTCTCCTCGTGGGCACCAATGAGCCTATAGCCACCGGAATTAGTATAGGTCATATAAACACGGGCGATCTCGACATTAGATCGCCATGACATCCGATCTGAGACAAACATCGCCAAATTGTACAGGGAATAGTACTACTTTCGTAGATACACACACGGACCGTGTGGCAATCATTCCCATTCGCTAAATGCAACCCGCTCGAATATACCGCGCGCCTCTAAGTACCGAAAAAAAATATTGTACAGAAAAGAAAATGTATCCGTCCCAGTATGTTGCTTAACATCGGACTAAAAGAAAGAAGAAACCCAATGCCGCTTAAGACTAAGCTATTCGGGGCGACACAGACGGACCAGCAACAGCAGCAACAGACTTGGGTGCGTCCTTCATGCTGAGCTCACTCATACGAGAGACCCCGTCCAAAGCTCTGCGCGGTGGAACAAACTCGCCAGAGACCGCGCTATCTGTGCTATTGCGACGAGACAGGTTCGGGGTATACCTCCCAGTGAAAAGACCTCGAATACCCCCAGGCTTCCGGGCCGGTATTTCGTGCACCACCGCAGTCAGTATGTAGAAAAGATATTTGAGATTCGGAAGAGTCTGGCGAATGTCCAGAACGCGGACACCTTGCCGGTTGAGCAGGAACTCGATGTCTTTATTTAGAAGAAACACGCCGTAGCCGAATTTATAATCCCCGCCAACCGGGTATAGAGGGAAAGTTCGTTGCGAGAGGTCCTTGGACACGGGATCCCGAACCAATGAAGCCGAGCTGTTCGGAGTAATCGGGTATGGAATCACCACGGACAAATAGAAAGAAAGAAGATGTACCAAGTGGGCTGCATAGCCCAGAGCGGCGGCCAGAATTTTGGGATCGGCGTCTCCGAACCCGTTAGAGCTCAAGTTGGGTAGCTCCAGTCCCCGAATGGTAAATCCCAGCGTTTGGTCGGGAATAGATTCAATCGGGTAAACATTCATCAAATCCTCCGCAATTCGGCGAATCTGGCCCTTAGTCTCTTCATGCGCCTGGTTGAGTAATTGATCACTGTGAGACAATTTGTCTTTGGCATCAGGAAGATGAGTCCGTTCCTTGTCCATTGTGGCTCGGCCATGCTCCATTGCCTTGCGACGATACGCGAGGCTGGCTTTCAGATCATCTTTGCGCTTCGTCGTTCTTTGCACCGCCTTCCGCTGGGCATCTACAAGCCCCTTGGTTGAATCGCATCGTTCCTTGGCACTCGCAGCCTTGCTAACGAGCTCGAACTGATTCTCATTTTTGGTAACAGTGTCACCAATTTGTGACTCGATAGTTCTCGTTATTGCGAGCGTGTCTTGAAGAACCAAGTCCAAATTAACCATTTTCATCAACTGATCATAAGAAGAGGTGGTAAGAACACTCCCGTCACCGACACCTCGGCGATTGGCGCCATCAAATGGCTTTTCCACCGGAGGAATGTCAGTCAAATTAGCATATACACCATCTGTGAGGTGAAAAACAAGACAATTGGTAGGTAGTGGTTGGTGGAAGCTGTCTAAGCTCTTTCCCAGGAATTGCAAGTATCGTAGATTCTGCTTTAACTCGACCAAAAGTATAAACTCAGACATGGCCTCCGTTTGAACCCATAGTTTGATTGTTATTGTATCAAGCCGACACACTAACGGCCATGACGCATTCAAGTCGAAGAACTGAAAGCTGGGGTTGGTCGTCTTCCTCAGGGTTTCACTGATATACAAAGGCTCTTCAATGCCATCGGAGTGAATCGAGAAGAATGTGTCTGCCATGCGATTCTTCACAATCCCAGCGAGTTTCTCCTGCCGTGATCTAGGGTTGGGGTCGTTCCAGGGCAGGGTACTGCGGCGGCGTGACGGGCCCAGCTCAGGCTTCTTCTGCTTCTTGTTTTCAAGCTGTTGATCTTGTCCCCCGGGCGATTTCAGGTCTGAGAATGATCGGGAGGTATGCAGCGACTGGGTATCTTTCTGCGCGAGAAATTTCGAGGGCGATTTCAGGCTGTTGGGGATATCGTCGTCATCAATGGTTTTGCCGCGGCCTCGAGATGCGGGTGGAGTCACGTCCAGGTTGCGCACCCAGATACCAATTACATTGCGTAGTCGGCGATTCTGCGACGTGTTAGTATTACAGAGAACAATCATTCCACGCTCAACATACCCATGGATAAAGGAACGGCCCTCCCCTGCGCGCACCGGCGTCATGCCCCGGAGCTGCGTCCATGGCGCCCGAACCCTCCATTCGTGGAGGCTAGGGTGACCAGGGGGGGACACGGTACTCAGTAGGTATTCAATAAAGAATGATAAGTATGCATGCTTCACAAACACGAGCCGAATCGTGCAACTTGACGCGTGAGAAACAATGGGGGATTGAAGTAGAAGCGATAAGGCGATGCGGAGACCTGCAGACGGGCCGCCAAGACCACGACTGCCCCGTCAAAAAATCCACCTCCGTCCTCACCTCCCGCAGACACCGAACACCCTCAATCCCCAATCACTCCGATCTCTGCGACAGATTGACCAGTGTCGCCCTCACGATCTTCTGTTTCGAGCGACTGAACACAAACTCCGGCCGCAATGGCCTCCTCAAACTCGGCCGCGAAGCCGATCAAGAAGATCCTTGACGCAACTAAGATCTCTTCCTTGACCTCGAAACTCGTCCGCAGACCCCTCGACCCCAAGGCTCGCGTCCCCATTCAAGGACGTCCCCGAGAGGGTAACTCGAATGCATTCAAGGAGGCTTCCACCCGCGAGAGCGTGCGGTTGCAGAAGGCCTTGAATGCGGTCGCTCACGGCAAGCACATCTTTGTCTACCACAATGTTCGGACGAAGCAAGTCGTGTATTCCCTGACTCGATACCTGGAGGTAAGTTTCCATCGCTGTCTATGATGCCTAAGACTCTGCCTCTTCTATCATTATCATTGCCATTAATTGAATTGATCAATCATGGTGACCCTCTGGTCTACCCTCCATCCAAAGCAAAAACCACAGCCGGCTAATCTAACCATCTCCCTCATACAGAAAACCAACCTCCTGCGGCAAATGGTCTACCACGGCAAGAAAACCGTCCCCGCCGAACTCCGCCGCGATATGTGGGTTCCTTACTACTCCGTCCACTTCGGTGATGCACGACTCGGTCTGCGCGCCTATCAACTCCTCCGCGAATTCTCCCTGCAACGACAGCTCGCCCCGCCAGCGGAGATGATCACCGTGACAAAAGAATTCCTGGACTCCAAGCGGCCGAAGGACCCCCCTAGCCGGGGAGGAATTCGACAAGATCAACCTGAAGCGAATCGGGCAGACGATGGAGAAGAGAGAGCGCGCACGTGTTCTTATGAACCAAAAGGCTACCTCAGTGGCCGATATCGCCGCTGCCCTGGCCATCCAGGATAAGGCAATTGCGAACGGACTTTTGGAAGAGACATCCAAGCGCGGATATCTGACCCGCAAAGCGCGCCAACGCCGCCGCGCAGCTCTGGAGCGCATGGCGAAACAGCAGGAGTGGAATCAGGAACACATCGCCGCGCTGGAGCAACGATTTGCCGACCTTTCCGGCGAGGAAGTGGAGATCGGCGAGGCGGATGGTGAATATCCCGAAAATGCGAAGGACGTGAAGATCCTTTGGCGTGATGTGCACGACGCTTACTTTGCTGAGAGCTGGCCTGCTGATGTGCAGCACGGCGAGCTGGAGCTCAAGCGTACCCACATCATTGGAGCTGAGCTTCGCCACGAGGGCTCGGGTGAGGTCGTTACTGAGCACCAGTTCAACGAGAGAAAGGAGGACCAATAAGCAAGTCGGTTTCGGTTCCTCTGCCGATGCCTGCTTCTTACCGGATATTTCGTTGCCCTTTTTTTTAGTTGGTCTGGGCCGCATTGAGCGATACTCTACACTGTTGATATCATTTTTCCATCTCTTTATGGGGATTGGGCCCAGGCGAGATGGGTGATGCCTTTTGTATTTCACCTTGTGTTTTCCCCCATGTGTTCTACTCAGCTGTGAGGACTTTTTACTGCATAAATTGTATTTTTAGACAATTCAATATCACGTTTGTGACAAATATTGACAACAGAATAAGAACGTAATATGGGGCACTTTGTACTGGCGTTCCGGGTAAACTTCAGGTTTGGGCATTATGAAAATGATTGGATTACCCAGCTAATAACTATACCAACCCATTTCCGCTCACTACCGGCGGGACATTGCGGCGGCCGTCCCGGACAAACTTGAATCACTTGACCGGGATTATATTGCGAGAACGCTGTTTGGCATGACCTGGAAAGAATGGCATTTCCTCACGCCGCACTGGGTTGACAGATGGGTTGACAGAAATGATCCGGTGCATGTTGGGCTGCGGGACTATGGTGAATATGACGAGGTACCCGTTAGAGTTATTCCGAGTATAGACTTCGCTGTGTTTGCTAGGGATGATATTGGTGTGGACCATGATATTTGGAAGAACGAAAAGGATGGCCGTCTTATGATGTTCGAAGTTTATGAATTGCTGGAAGCAGCTGAAGCTTCTCACCGAAGCTTGGCTCAAAGTTAGAATGCCAATAATATGGATGGCTTGGATGCCCAGGCATCCCGAAGGGCGATTCAGGCGATGGTGAAAGATACTTGCAGTTTTTAAGATCTGCATGGCCAATGGGACTGATGGATGCGATGGGTCCTCCCGTTTCCGATCTCATGGGAACGATATTAAGATCGCTATCGCAATCTCTATGATACTAAAAGCCGGTGTCCCTAACAATAAGGTCTATGGTCCTGCCACAGCCCGACTTCCCAAGTCAGGAGCCAGGCCTGGCGAATGTACCAAAACTCCAGACTATATTGCCAATGCCGAGATGAACGAGCGGCTTGACAGTGATGATAAGGAAATTACGACCTACTTCGATGAAGGGAGTAAATCAATGATCTCTACTCCAAAAATGGCACCTGGGTCGCTTGTAACAACAGGGAAAACGGGGCTTCCCGTTTATGGGAGTGGTGTGAAAGTGGCCATCTCGCTGGAACTGCTCTATGGGCGATTGATCTTACGGAATTTATCAGCGGAGATTATGATGGCACAAGGTTAGGAACAGTCTACCCAACTAACTGCACGGAATCCATTGATAATATGGATCATTTGGAGGTAGCAACCGGCATTGACGACTACTACATGAATATTTATCTTATCCAGGCCTTGTCAGGAAACCTTACTACGTCCCTCAGCAAGTATCAAGAACTTTCGGACGATAATTACGACCAGAAGTTTAGCTGGTATAAGGAGGCGGTTCAAAAATCTGCCCCCGAAAATCTACAGTCCTTTTTGAAGGCAAACGACACCCTATATTTTGATTGCGTTCAAGGTGGAGATACAGATGACTACAAGAACCAAACAAGCAAAGATTGTGTTCATGACAGGTCGCTCCGCATTTCAGTCGACGTATCTCTGCGGCACACATTGATGAATTAGGAACGGAAGTTAAGGGTGGAATGGCCCAAGTTGAGAAGTTGATAAAACGGTGTCACTAGGCGGGGACTGCATAACGTTGCTTCAAGATGTCGCGCAAATTCACTAAGCATGGAACGTTGAGTCTGGAGTCAAATGGATGTTTCCCTTCGAGTTCAAGTTGTAATACAAGTAGATATGTTAGACAGTGAAAAACAGGTACTAATAAATGAACTCCAGGTCTACAATCCAAGATTTGTCTGAGAAAAACATAAACCAGTGTGTAGAAGTGTAACGACCGGACCTTGATTTCCGTGCGATAAGATAGCCATACATACAGACATCCTAATAGGATGAGATGGGATCACAACAAAAGTGAAAAGGTTATCGGAAGAAACAAGTTGGAAGAAGGCATTGAAAATAAAAAGTCTTAATCTCATAAAGCCCAAGTTGAGGGCAAAGGGTCCAAAACAGATTGGAAATATGCCAAGAACAGGACACTATGAGAGAGTCCTCAATGGCAACAACAACAAAAAGGCAAGTTTGGTAGGGTTGGTGTGTGTGGATGGGAAGTCATAAATCGGGCGCCGATGTGCAGCGTGTGTAAATCAGAAAATGAATAGAAAAAGAACAGGGGGGTGTGGTGGTGGGGGAAAAAGTAAACAACAGAAACAGCTCCATGTTTCACTGGCAGGCTCAGGCTCAGTCACAGTCATTCAGAAAAGTATGGGATCCAAAATTCATAAAATGAAGACAAGGAAAACGTATGTGCGCATTCTATCTGTTTGCTGTGCTCCTTGGAAGAAGTTCTTTCGGGGTCTGGAGAGAGACTTTTGTCAATAAAAAAAGGATCTTCCGACAACTTATTTGCTCTGCTGAGGAGCGTTACTAGAACTTAGAATATCCACAGAGGGGAGTTGGCGATTGTCTGCGAGATTGAGTTCGGGCCCTGGTTCTTGCTTGTCGTTGCTGCTGGCCATTTTCTCCAGAATTTCTTCATGGGCCTGCTCTGCAAGCTCGGGATTGTCCGCGATGCCCGTACTCGCCATGCTTCTTCGGGCACCTTCCACGATCTTGTCGGCTTCGCTGACACCGCCAGGAACATTGGCTGACGGGTCACCGTCCACTCCAATGGGATCTGCTTTATTGTTCACGACGTCCTTCACCCGGTTGGAATCGAGACGGATGACCATGCAGGACAGATTGTCTGTACTGAAGCGTGCAAGGGCGTGATCCACAAGAATCTTCGAGGCATTTTGGGCATCCTGCACATTGCGGATGAGATCAACAGCCTCTTGGTCACTACATACATCCCATAGCTAGATTTGAAAAGTTAGTTATGTTCTCAAAGTCAAAGGGGGGATTTAGAAGGTAAACATACCCCGTCGCAAGCCAGAATGATGAACTCGTCAGCATCTGGCTGTATCACGGTTTCAGTGGTATAGGGATGCCCAGTAACTAGATCTTTGAGATAGGTATCGCCCAAGGCACGGGTGACGGCCAAAACACCATTGACACGGTTGTTGAGAATTAATCCGCCAGCGTTGGTAATCCTCTTTCCTTCGTTCTCGTCACTTCCCTTGTGATCATACGATAAACGCAGTGCTTTCCCATTGCGACACAGTACAATGCGAGCATCACCAACGTTGGCGGTATACAGCACTCGTTGACGAATAGCCTTTTCTTGCAACTTGGGAATGGACCCTCCTGAGGGGGCATCTTGAGTCGGTGTTTCCGCGGCATCCGAGTTGGCGCTAACAGCCGCGGTGGCAGGGGCAAGGGCAGCAGACCCGGTAGCGGAATTTGAGCTAGGGACACGATCTTCCCAACGGAGGACCGCGGTCACTGCAGTACAGCCACTGTTTTTCAAAGGCAGCTTCTCTAGCTGCTGGTCTACGCTGGTAAACGTTTGATCGAGAAGTTCGGGCACCGGGGTCGTCGGACTCCTGCGCATGACCTCTTCTAGGATCAGATGGAGCTTCTTGCCACACCACTCCGCCGCGAAAGTACCCGCATGCCCGTCGAAGATGGCGAAATAACCATTGTCTGTTTCCACCGCCTTCAGAGAATCGTTGGATGTCTGAGACTCGTTCGCGCTTGTCAGAGAGTCGTTGCCGTTGGTACTAGACGAGCCTGCTGGGGCCGGAGTCCCCAGAAAGTTGTACAGGTAGGCATGTGTATCTTCCATCGTCCGGCGGCATTTTCGATTGCGATCTTCCGTTACGCCAACGCGGAAAGATGAGCGTCCAGTCGGTACCGATTCTCCAGCGGAGTTATTGAAGGACCCTTGCGGGACAATCAGGGCGGGATCCATTTTTCCTAGCTTAGAGAGAGGACTCTCCGAGACGCTCGGACTGGTACTGAAGGAGGAACCTTCGCGCGTACCGTTCAGGGAGAGGCTGTTTTTGGCGGTGCTGAAGAAGTTAGCCGCCTTGGTGACGGTGCTGCTTCTGCGCTTCTTTTCGCCGGCGGGACCCTGATCTTCACTCTGTCGACGGAAGAAGCCAGCGCCAGGCGGGGAGAATCGCTTGTCGCGGGGGCTGGCGTTTTCGGGCTGGAGGCTCAGGGAACTCGTGTCGATTCCAGGTATGGTGGTGGCTTCGGTCTTATCTTTGGGTGGGCTCGAGGAGCCACTGAACATTCTGTTCAGCAACCCACCCTGAGAAGAAAAGCTACGGCGCTTATTTCCTGCCAGCTTGATTGTATCCCTCGAAAAGGATGGCGGGGGAGGTTTCAATGAAGTTGGACTTGGCGCGGGGCCGAGAATGGAGGGCGGCGTTGGGGAAGGGGACTGACGTAGGAGCAACAGTCGACCAGTCAGGAGAGAGGAGGGGGATGAAGCTTTAGGTCTAAAGAGTTAACAGGTGATCACTTCTTGAGAAAGACGAGCGATGACAAGCTGAAAGAAAGAGGATATGGGGAGGGGGGAGTTGTTGAGAGGAGGAGTAGTAGGTGGATGGATTGGGGGGGGACCACGGGAGGGCAAAGAGAGGCGACTTGACTGGAGTCGAGATTGGCAAGGAAGTGGGAGATAGTTGGAGCAGGACGATTGAACAGAGGGAATGTTCGTGGTAAGAGCGCAGGGCCATGCAATCCGTGTACTCGCCCAAGCATCGATGCGGCCAGCGCGCGTATATTGCACTCCTCATGATCATGCTCCATGCTGGCCTAACCCCGCCCTCCCGGAAGACCCGGGCAAGTATCTCTTCAGGGGGAAAAGAAGGAAAGTTGAACATACCGTATGCGTAGAGGGAAGTAGCTTCTAAGGATTGTGGTTGAGAATGGAGAAGGGGAAGAAGTAAAGTAAAGTAGAGTTATGCGACCCGAAGCGATCTGAACTCCGCCCCGTCGCGCGGCACTGGGCGGAGGTGCAGCCAAGAACGGAGGAAGTGGAGCTACTATTGGGAGGAGAGGGAGAGCAGGGAGGCCAGAGATGAGCAGAGGAGATGAATATGGAGTAAAGATAGACTAGTAGCAGTTGGTTACTTTCATAAAGGGGACAGAATCCCTGCACATCGCTCTGCCTATCTACTGACTCGCACCTGATGACGAGCATCACATCACATCATCATACTACTGCATACACTACCAGCACCCAATACTAGTACATCATTTCTATCGACACCTGACAGAAAATCTGCAATATTTTTGACCGAACACTAACTCAGTTGTATAGTAATACTACTAGTTATACTAGTTATACTAGTTATATTAATAGGAAGATGGAATACTGGAGTACGGAGTAGTCAAATCTCACGATGTCCCGATGCGGCATAGATGGCAGATAGCTCATATTTTATGCGGTGATCCAACAGCGCCCCTGAACTCCACCCACTGCCCCTAACAGTCAATCTCCACAAAAGGAGCAAGAATACTAATCATAATGCCTAATAGTAAAAAAAAATAACATCCTCAAATGTACATGTACTCCGTAAAGCCAAGTCCAAACACCACTCATCTACCATGAACTAAAATCTCCAAACCCTCCTGTCCCCTTCGCCTTCTTACGTGCAGGCTCAGGTTCAGGCTCCTCGTCCACAAACTCCACAATCTCGTCATCATCTCCACCACGATCGGCCAGCGCAGCTTTCAGATATTTGCCAACGCCAGTCGAACCGCTTTCACTAGCTCCCTCGCCAGATCCGCGGACGCGCTTACCTGTCCAGGTGACTCGATCGTCGTCCACGCGACGAGAACTCTCGTCCTCTTGTTCTGCGTCACCACCTCGGCCCCAGCCCCAGCGGCGCCTGTCTGGCCCTCGGAGCGTTTCTGGCGAAGGAAATCCTCAAAGGGGTCCACAAAAATGGTGACTTCTTTGATGCGGACTTCTGGCGTGGGTCGGTTGGTAGATGACTCCACGGGATGAGTCTCGAGCGAGTTCAATGTAGCAGATGAAGGGGTTGGATCGTCGATCAGTCTGCCGAAGATAGTGTGTTTGCGGTCGAGATGCGGTAAAGCTCGATATGCGAAGAAACTGGTCGATGGGAGGTTAGCTGCGCTCATACGCAGTAAATCGCAGTCTTCCCACTCACAATTGACTACTATTGGTATTTTTGCCCTTGTTGGCCATACTCAGAGTCCCACGTCCGTCATGTTTCAGCGGTCCCTCAAATTCGTCCGCAAAGTACTTGCCCCAGATACTCTCCCCGCCACGTCCAGTCCCAGTGGGATCACCACCCTGGAGCATAAATCCCTTGATATTGCGGTGGAAGGTGACATCCTTGTAATAGCCCTTCTTGGCCAGCTGAATGAAGTTCCACACGGCCTTGGGCGCATATTCGGGGTACAGTTCCACATTCAAGTGCCCGGCAGTTGTATCCAGTCGCGCATAGCCCTTGGCCTTGATCCGGCCCCGTTTCAACATATACTCTTCCTCAGATAGAAGGGCCAACTCGCCCGAAGTGTGAGGCGTCAGCCCTGTACTCGTAAAAGACGCTGCAGCCTTGCCGGTCGTGAAACGCGCAGCGTTGTACGGCGTGGGCTTCCCTGACTGAGACGCAGCCGATTTTGAGGCATTGGCGCCCGTAGCTCCGGTTTTGGAAATCGCTTTCGAAGCCGCCGAGCCACTTTGCTGTTGCGCGCGTTCGGCCCGCGCCTTGGCCACTGCTTCCTTCGCCTTCAAGATCTTGGCCGAACTGCCCAATGCATTGGCATTCACGCTGCCGGCTGCCTTCTGCTCGTCCAGGATATCTGTTTCTCCGTCTTTGAGGTAGTTGAACGAGCTCAGGTTGCGCGACTCGACATTTTGCGGGTCCTGCAATGTAATAATATCCTTCCGGCTAAACTCCTGGTCCGTAACAAGATCACGCCAAAGTTTTCCCTTGATATTCAATCGCTCGACCGTGTCCCAGGCAAACACGTTGCCCGTATTCCGCAGCGCCACAATGTGCGTGTTGTCCGTTAAAACCTTGTATGTCACCGGGTCGACGTACTCGTTCTCCTCATTTTTCGCGATCGTAAGTTTGATCAGTTCTGAGCTTTTCAGTGGTGATCCGTCGACCGGGTTCGTCCCGTGTTTCTTGATCCAGGGGAGGATATTGGTGAGGTCGAAGATCGTGCCTACGGGTGTGCAGACTGGATGCGCGAATGGCTGCAGGGAGAGCGAGCAGAAGTTGAAAGGTAGGCGCTTGAATGGCGCGTGGCCACCTCCACGTCTAGCTTTGCTGACGCCAGCGCCAGCGCTGGCCGAGAAAGCATCTTCCGATGCCCACTCGGAATGTGTAATCTATATCGAACGATTGTCAGTGAGGATTCGAAAATGCGACGGCGGGGAGTTTTATAACGAAGGAGGTGCGGAAGATCGCGTACATAAAGCTTGTCCGTTCCTAGAGCGCGAGTATGTTAGTGAAATGTCCTTGGCAAAATCAGGAGGGTTGACATACCTTTTCCCATAGTGTATGAAGCTCAAGCATTGGCAACAGCTCGGCCTTCACTTTCGACTCGGAGACGGCGAGAATGACGCAGGAAGTACTAGCCTATTCGGGACTAGTGCATATAGACACCTGATATTTGTGGCGTCAACATGAACTAACGATGTAGATCTAGATAAGCCGGGAAGTACGATAGAGATCATATTGCAGTAGGAAAGATCAAAGGTCGATAAAACAACACGTAGTGACGGGAGCGGACCAAGATGGGATGAAACTGATGATGATGATGGAGGGAGAAGCCCTCAGCAATAACTACTACTAATACTACTACTACTACTACTACTACTACAAAGGACAAACGCAACATGAAAGACTACAAAGCAGTGTGAGGTGACAAAGCCGTAAGCCTGAGGCTCTAGGGCCTCAGTAACACGATCAAGCAAAACGAGTACAATTAACGATCAACGCATTAAGGTAATAATAGAGATTAAACTTCATCTTCATAAACTCCGCTTAAGATTCGTGATATTCAAGAAGATAAAGCTCCAGACCGCAGCGAAAGCAAGTATCGACTTCGGCATCCTTTGCGAAGAAAAGTATACAGTTTATGCACCTTTGTCATGGTGATATCGGCCAATCTTCGAGAGAACATCTTTGGTAAACTCAGCGGTGTCGAGCTTGTGGTTGGCTTCGTTCTTCATAAGCTGGTCAAGATGAACCGAGGCCGCTCTGACCATGTCAGATTCCTGTTGTTAACTGCTGTTGGGCTATGTCGACACCGCCAGTGCGAAGATATCGGTCGACCCCTCCGGGGTTTGAGGGCTGAACTCGACATTCTCCTGCAAAAGCGGCGCACTATAACCCACGCACTTTGAACCATTCGATCAGAACAGCCGAGGTCTTGTTGAATCACAGCGCTTTTGTCGATGCTCGGCTCTGGATTGATAACTCCAAGCCCCTTCATCATACAATAAGCTACGCGATAACCAACAATAGGACGGTAGCGCTTCTGCTAGATCCGGGTGCTGAGCCCACACACGCTCGGGGGGAAATTTCCCGCAATCTTTGAAAGTAAATCCCTGGTAAACTCGATGGTATCAACCTCTTGGAAGGCCTCCTTGGTCAGTTAAGGCGACAAAATAACGGAAGTAGGCGAATCGGAAATAAATAAAGCAATAATGCGACGTAGGGACGAATCGACGAAGCGAAAAAGTGACACAAGTGAGCAAGTCGATAAATCGATTAAGCCATCATTTTTCGTGACAACCACCAGGTCCCGAAGTCCGCGATCATTCTTCGGTATGCTCTCGTAAACAAATGATATGACACCTCGCAGGAACCCACCCGGACTACCAAGCCCGATGCAAACAATCCCGTCAACATTCAAATCCTGCGACGAGGTTTCCGTCTCTTGATCGTGTATCCTTTGGTCCAATTGCACCCTCGGTTTCTGCCATGTCTCCGACTGAATCCATCGCTCATTATAGCCTCTATACTGCGCCTTTAATTCCTCAAAAGTCAGGCCAGCCGATGCCTCGGCTGGACTGAGAAACAGCTCTGTCTCATCAACCCTGTTGGTCTCGCGGTCACTCCGTGCCTTGGTGGTGCGCACTGCGCGCCGCACATTGCTCCCGCTAGTGACATCAGTCCAGCCGTCGTCACCGGTGATCTCGAGGAAATCATCGAAGTCCCATGGCTCCTTCGGCAAGGATCTGAATCTCTGTAGGGAGGCTTTCTTCATTTGTGGCACGAGGTATTTGTCTGCAACTTGATAGACCGCGGCGAGGAATCCGAATGGACTAGGGATGTCGTCCTTGACGGAAAAATGCTCTCTGGGATAGAATAACTTCATCAAGCCAACAATGGCTCATAGATCATCTTTCGTGAGGATAAAGATTTTTTCCCTTGCTTTCCTGATGACTTCTGCCCCAAGAGAAACCGGTGCTCTTGAGAGAGAGAGAAAGCATTTGGGCGACCCCATTCATCAACTTTGGAAAAACCACCACATCGAGTCTCTGACTGTGAGAAGTCTCGTCGAATCCGAGACTAGTAGATTGTGTTCGTATTGGTCTGGTCTTTCTGATCTTTTATCAGGCATGATTTGGAAAAGGCTAGCCTCTAGGAGTCGTTTGACCGTAACATCGTCGAGACCAAGAGCTTGTTGATATCGTCAAAGAAGTCCGCAACAGGTCTCGCTCGAGGCTGTTGTTTTCGATCAATATGGAAGCGGACTCTGAAAGGAATCGATGACTTACTACTTTCCTAATCCCGCTTGCAAAGAATCAGGATCATCATCATCATCATCTCCAAAAGGGCCAATAGGGCCAGGAAACTTGGGAGCAGGGTGTTGAGTTGGAGAACGAGGCATCATGATCTGTTGCAGAGATGTACTTGTATGAACAAGATGGTGCTTTGTTCTTGTCGCGTTGTTCTAGGTGTGATGGTATTGGGATGGGGGATAGTGGGTGTTTAGGGAGGACTCGAGCAGTTGCTTGCCTGCTACCTAGCACGCGGCCGCCGCGCCTGCCTATTCTGGCAACTACCCACTTCACTTATTCACTTCAAGGTACAAACAGTTCAAGTTAGAGTGCACTCCAGGGCTAGCAGAGTGATTGCATCACTGTGAGACACTCTCACTCTCTCGACATACAAGAAATCCATGGATAGCTAGAAAAGTTAGTGCAGCAAATAGAGGCTGAGGAAGATTTGACATTTGAAATCGTAGACTGCTCGCTAATGATACATTTACAAAGACCTCCAGGCCTTCAAAGAATTCTCAACCGGGAGAAAAAAAAATACTCCGCTTGCGCCATAATATCTTCCCACTATTTTCCTAACCTCATTAAAAGCGCCGCTAATGGTTTTTGTTCATAATCAGTCCCATCGTGGCAGGCTGACTTACTGGGTCGACGACTGGTACTGCAGTGGAACCACCCATCGATTGCCAAAGTCAATGCCGTGTCGACGTCGAGTGCCATACTTGCGCCACACGATCTGCGGGATGCCAATGTCGGCAACAGTGAGGTTCCAGCCGAAAGCAAGCCCGGAGACGAGGGCGTTGAGAACGCCGGTCTTCGGTGCGCCGAGGCAGACAACCGAAGTTGCGGAAATGCAGAGTGGGTTGCCCTCTACCATGGTCACCTCTCCTGTTGATGAGATTAGTAAAGTAATTAGAAAATACGAGGCCTATGCAAGCCTAGGGTACGGGCACTTACCATTGGAAGCGGACATCCCCGAAGGAATATCTACCGACAAAACATCGATTTTGCTTCGGTTCACCCACGTAATCATCTCAAACGCCACAGCCTGGTCCTCGGTGCGAAGGTCATCAAAGGCCAAGTGCATGCCGAATAGAGCATCGATCACCAAGTCAGGGACCAGCTCAGCCGAGGAAAGACGAGTAGACAGATCTTCCCACTTAAGAACCCGACCTCCAATCTTGCGGAATATATCGAGCTGCTTGCGGCAGTTCTCCAGCAGTTCAGCCTCGTGTTCCAGCCCGAGTACACAGACAGAGACACGATGGCCACGGTTTCGCAAGTGGCGAGCTGCGGCGAAAGCCCGAGCCCCAGTTCTGTGATTGCCAGTAATTATCAGCATCGTTGGGGCAGCAGCATCACTGGCAAGATTGGCAACTGCTGCCTCGGCAATGCCCCGACCAGCATTCTCCGTCATGATATCTTCGGTGAGACCGAATTCAGCAACGGCAATCTGCTCAACCTCGAGTGTTTGCAGTGGACTGACAGTCGGGCAGCTCCGGCTAGTGGTAGTAAGCCGTAGTGAAGCTCCAGAGACACTAGGGCCAACCATGGGGGACACGGACGATCGGCCGGGTCGAGGACTTGTAGTGCGAGAAATGTTGAGTTGGCTACGACCAAGAGCGCTAATCTGCTGCACCATTGGCTGCGCAATAATTCCGCTACTCTTGCGGGATTGCATGCGTCCGGCGGCTCGTGATCGGTCTCGTCCAGAGATGTTCTCGCTGCTATGTCTAGCATCACTGATGACGTCGACATCGTCGCCAGTGTCGCTATTCTGCGGGCTATCAAGCACGTTCTCTGTCCAGTGAAGGTTCTTTCCGCCATTGGTTCCTGGCTTTGCCTTCCGGTTGAAGCTCACCAGGCGAGCTTCATCCGCAGTTGTGTCATCATTTCGAATTTGCTCAAACACGGTCCGTTTGTCGAATTTTGACAAGTTGCTTTGGAAGTCAAATTCGGGCAGCTCTTGGATATCGGTTGCATCCTCTGTTGCCCAGCCGCTGGCGTCCTCAGCGTATGCGCGGCGTGTTGTCTTCTTCTTGCGCAGCTTCGTGCCAGGCTGAGGAAGGTTCTCGGGCGACACCTGGGTTTGTTCTGTGGCCGGTTCCACGAACGCTGTTTGGCGCCAGCCCTTGCTTTTCGGGTTGGTGCTTGCAGCTGCGCCATGCTTTCGTGCAGGAACATCGTTATTGCCGCGATCTTTGCGCCGTGTGGTTTGCTTGGCCGAAGTCACGCTCTGTACAACCTGAAATCCCTTCGCTTGTGAGCCCCTTTGAGTATTGCCAGTGCCCACATTCAGTTCAAGGTCACTGAATGGCTCGGTGAGAGATGCTGCGACTGTTGGAGGCTCCTCGTTGGCGACCGGCGCCGGGTGGTGGGCTTGAGTGGGCAGTAGGGCCGGCTTAGCGTAGCTCAAAATTGCGGGATCCACAAACGATGGTTTGACAGATGGCTTGGGTTTGGGCTTCGGAGCTCCCATAGGGAGGTTTTGAGCATATTGGGGCTGTGAAGAACCCATGCCCGTCGATTCCAGAGAAAGGTCGGTGATGGAGGATGCGTCGATGGCATACTGAGCGAGTCGTTGGCCATTCCAAAGAAGGGTAACTTCAGAGAGAACTATTAGCTACGGACCAGATCTCAAAGTCATGGAATCTCTTAGCTTACCATCTCGAAGCATCAAGTTTTGTCCGATCACATCAGCAACCTGGCCTTGAAGCTTCCCACCCGGAGGAGTCTGCAAGCTCACAAGCACATTGTAGCCAATGAACTCGGCCGCCATGATTACTATGTTCCGCAGTGAGTTTCAAATAGCCACTCGAACACGGATGGGAACAATTGGGGAGGGGATTGGTGTGCTGGGGATAGACTGCGGGCGAGGCCTCGGGCACCTGGGCAGCTTTGAAGGAAAGAAGAGTCACGTGCTGATAACAGATGCCAGTGTGGGGGGGAATTTAGTGAGGCGTCATACTACCCTGCAGCTGCAGCTTAAGCTGGGCACTAGACCACAACCTTAAAAGGGACAACTTAAAGCTTGAACTGTTACTATATAGCGTGGTTTAAACCCCATGGAGTAAGCGAGTACCTACAGATAGTAGGTACTAGTAGGCGTGCAATATTGGGGACAGGTAGTAGAACTTTGTTTGCAGATATTCTGGGTGTATCACTATGCTTGATGGGTAGGTAGATATATATAGGCAATTCAAACTCCACCAAAATCATTACCGATGGAGCTTCACATACATCTTCATTATCTATACTAGAGAAAATCAAAGGCAGAATCTCCCTCGAAATCATCCTCGATACTGGAATTCTTGGACTTCCCAGGGTTGTTGATCTTGTCAATGGATACCAGTTTGTTGTAGAAGTCAACCACCTTCGGGTGCACCATGACCTTTCGCGGTTCGAAGCGGGTGACTTGCAACCCGGCCGCAGAGGTAGCTCGACTCAGGGCCACATAGGCCTGTCCCTTCTCAAAAACTTTTCCGAGGTCAACCTTCACTCGCTGCAAGGTCTGGCCTTGGGCCTTGTGGATAGAGAGAGCCCAAGCGAGAATCAGTGGAACTTGTTGGCGCTGTGCTTGGACCTCACCATTTGGAAGCTCGATCTTCCAGGTCTCGGGCTGACAGAGCAGGTGTCTTTCAGTACCGTCTGGTTGCATAAAGCATACGAGTGGCCATTTTCGGGTCATAGCGATGCTCCCTTCTTTATGGGCCATTGGCTTCAGCTTCTTGCGTGCACGGAGAGCTGCGTCGTCTTCATCATCAGGATTGGCATCACCGCCCGCAAAATCCGCTTCATTATTTCGATAATGGTCGAAAGCGCCCTCGTCCATAAAGGCTACCACTCGGCCAATGGACCCGTTCACAAGAGAATCTTCCATGTTCTTGATAAGCATCACTTGAGCTCCCTTCTTGAGGTTGATCATCGGGGGAGCCATGCAATTAGACAGTAGTTTTTCACGATACTTGGGATCTGTAATGGTTCCCCCGTCTACTGCATTGAATGTCATCACTTCGCCAGATAGCCTGGTCATCCGTGCAGAGTTAGCACCCTCGACTTCAGCGCGGGTGGGAAATCTAGAAATGTTAGTCTACGTAACTTCGAATGTCAGAGGAGGGGGGGGGTGCTTACAATTCTGTGGCCTCCAGGGCATCATGGAAATCCAGTGGGCGGGAAAGTGCTCGGAACGCAGCAATAGTCTGCGGAGTAATCTTGCCCAGTCTCATTTCGTTCAGCATGTTCGCAAATTCGGGGTCACGCTGACGGAAAACGTGCGTCAACAAAATAGTGTGTTGTATCGTAGTATTCCAAGTCGCCGCAGCGAAAGCAAACTTGGCTTCACGATTGCTACCTTCCGGAACTGGAGGTAGTTGGAAGAAGTCACCGGTGACAACAAGTTGTATGCCTCCAAAGGGGCGAGCGTTGTTCCGAATACGGCGAGCGATCTCTTCGAGTTTGTCGTATAGATCACCATCCACCATTG